TTACAGGGAACCAGGCAGAGGGCCTTCTCGGTAGTGGCGCCCGCCCTGTGGAACGCCCTCCCACCAGATGTCAAAGAGAAAAATAACTACCAAACTAATAAATTATTATTATTATTATTATTATTATTATTATTATTAGAATGGATAGAGAAAAGTTTCCCCTTAACACTAGCACTGTTGGATAACCACTGATGCCGAATGTTGGGAGATTCAGGACTGCCAAAAGCAAGCCGTTCTTCATGCAGAGGATAGTTAAACTGTGGAACTCTCTGCCACAGGAGGCAGGGATGGCCACCACATTGGATGGCTTTAAAAGAGGTTCGGACAAATTCCTGGAGGAGGAGAGGGCTCCCCAGGGCTACTAGCCACTAAGCCTTTGCTCTGACTTCACAATGAGGGGCAGCAATGCTTTCGAATACCAGTTTCTGGAAAGAGAGGGCTCTTTTGCTTGAACCCTGCAATTCAGGTCCTTCTTGGGGTTTGGGTGACCCTTTCCACCGGGCAAATTAGGTAAGACTTGCCCCCGCTTTAAAAACTATAAAACCTTGCGTAACTGCCCAGCTTGTTTGTCTAAAGCCCAATGGATCGGTTTGCTCCCACACACAAAAATAATTCGCTTAGCCACCCTGGATTTATTCTTCTTCTGTGATAGTGAGCAGGATATAAATTAAGATACATATATGCAAAAGGAAAAAATAAATAAAAATAAAACTGAGGCAGGTCAAGTTAGGAAATGGAATCAGGGGCATTTTGTGTCTCCGGACACATTTGGCTCGCTTGCCTTTGGGATTTGCAATAATAATAATAATAATAAAACTTCCCTATACAGGGCTGCCTTCAGATGTCTTCTAAAGGTCGAATAGTTGCTTTTCTCCTTGACATGTGATGGGGAGGGCGTTCCTCAGGGTGGGCGCCACCACCGAAAAGGCCCTCTGCTCAAAGGCTACAGCTCAGTGGACCAGCAGCAGTTTTACACCCCAAAGGCCCCAGGTCCAGTCCTCAACATCGGACTGGGAAGGCGCCTCTCTGAAACCCTGCAGACCCAGTCGGCGTAAATTAATGGTCTTCAACTGGCGGGTCGGGACCCAGTTCCGAGTGATGGCTCGATCTAGGGTGGGTCTTAACAGCATTGCTACCATCCTATTAATATATGGTTTAAGACATGGGGATTTGGATTGAAGTTGGAGCCTGGTTTTAAAAAGATTGAAAAGTTTTTGGGGGGGCTTTTGGGGGGGCTGCCACTCGCTTGCTTCCATAAACTCATCCCCCCCGCACTGTATAAAAAGCATTATTATTTTTTGTTTCCACGACCTGCTAAGAAAGGTACAGTAATAACACAACGAGATTCAAACCAATCATAATTGAAGGCACATTTATTCAAAATCCCATTAAAACTGTTCAGTTTGATTAGTTTAGCAAAACTGAGACTGGCTTTTCCATGTCTGATAGACATTTACATCTCCAGCCCTGCCCCACCCCCAGGGGGCAGCACCGTACACTGGGGTAGACCATAGCGAGTAACACAAATAGGCGGTGGTCTGGCTCAGTAAAAGGCAGGTTTTCTCGGCCACAGAACCTTTTCTGTCTAGCTGGTATCAGCCGAGGGTCGCCTCCTGGCTCTCAAGAGCGATTGAGCAACCCATTGGCCTCTTCCTCTGTCAATTAACTATAACATTTTGAGAGTATTTTTCCCTCTTCCCTGTAAATTTACGTCCGCCTTTCCTCGTCTTCTCCTTTTTAACCAGCTTCTCTCACCTCAGAATTAAATCCACTTTAAAACCTTTGGGTGTTTTTTAAAAAAGCTATCTCGTTCAGAATGGCTAGGGCAACCCAGTCAGCTGGGCGAGGTATTAAAAAAAAAAATCATTATTATTTCAGTTTGGTTCCCATACAGACCCACGAAGGTAAGCATAAGAAATTGCAAAAAGCAACAAGGGGGCAGAAATTGATTCCATGTCTGAGTTCTGAAAGAGAAGAAGAGGACGTTTCACTTTTAAGCATTTTTTCAATGAAGAGCTCTTGATTTCGATGGAAACAACTTTCGAGTAAGCACGTGTAGTTTTGCAGCCTTGTTTCACTTTTAATCTAATTGTTTTAATTCCCAGGTATGTTATGTTAAACATCTCAGTAGTGTTTGGAACACGTTGTTCCCAGAGATCCAGCAGCGGGCCGCTACCTTCAGACTAAGACCTGCTACATCTGATCTACCAGTCAGGTGAACGTGTGAACACGCTGGTAGAGTTGTCGTAGTTCATTCCCTCCATTTTGAAACCATGAGCTCTCTCTGTGTGTTATTTTATTCCCCTTAACTTATCCCTACCTTCGCTCGCCACCCCCAAACCCCTTCTTCGCGTGGAAAACCTCTAAGGAAAATCATGAACAATGGGATTTCCCGGTGATTTAAGCATGTCTGGATCCTGTCCCGCGCTTCCTTCCAAATAAGAATTCTTAGAACGGTAGACCTAAGACAGGATGCTCTCCTGCGCAAGCCCTCCAGTGACTGGGAAGTTCGCTTTCATTGCAGTGGGGCTGGCGCAGGAGATCTTTCCTCCCAGCTAGTGTAAGGTCTACAGACAGATGTTCTCGCGTTTCGTTCGTTTCAAGGGGACTTGCGCAGGAGAACTGCCTATCTCCTCCTCATTGACCGTTCCTCGAAAGAACCTCGCTGCCTGCCTCTGATCCATCTCATCCCAAAATATCCTACCAAAATAAATCTCTCTGTTTCCGATTTTTTAGAACACATTTCATCCCTCCTTCCTTCGTTCAAGGAACGTGGTTCCCAGGCAGTCGCTCACCCGGGCCCTGGTGCTTTGCAAAAGTGGAGGTGCTATTCTGCCTTCAGACCCTACTCCAGGCGCTTCGGTCTTCTCAGGTGAAACGCACACAATTTCAGACAGCCCCGTTTGTTGCTTTAATATATACGGTGCCTGTTTAGGATATTTCATGGTCAGTTTTACAGCTGAAGCCTAATCCCGTTCACTTGGGGAAAATACTCCCATTGACTCCACCCGGACTTTCCCTTCCAGCAATTCGGGTTAAGATGGCAGCCTCTAAATCGCTTAACGTGGACCAGGATCGTTTCCATGCAACCTCCGCCTCAGCTGTGGTTCCTGCACCGACGGGGGTTGGACTAGATGACCCGGGGGTCTCTTCCAACTCTACAATATTATGATCCCGTGATTCAGTCGCAAAGTCGGTTGCTGGCATAAACTACAGGTTGTCTTTCCCACGCCTTACCCATCACTTCCGGGGCGCTGCGATTTGCCCCCCTGGGGTGCAGGGTACGTACTAGATTAGCGAGTTCTCTAGGGTGGTATCTCGCAGCAAAGGAGCTCTGGCGAGTTAGCGCGGCGAAATGCTTTTTAAAGGCTCCACAGTGCTTGCTGTTAAAGACAGAGGCTCTTGTACCCATTTTACAGACGGGGAACCGAGACGCGTTGGGGGTCGGGGTGGGAATTTCAAGCGCAACACGAGTCAGGAGCCGGAGGCAGGAGGAGGGAAGGGAGAATGCAATAGTCCCCCCCCCCCCGGTTACTATTCAGGTCTCTAATAATCAGCGCCTCTGCTTTTATTTTTCAGGATTAAACCTGAAAGGGGCTGGGGTGGATAATAGGACGACTCCCAGGAGAACTTCCCAGTAGACTGGGCCCTAAATATTGACACCCAGGAGAATTAAGGTCACCCTTGGAGAAGCTGAAAGCAGCAAAGGTTTGTAAGCAAGACTGCCGGGGGGGGGGGCGTCCTGGATGGCGGACCCGAGGCACGGATATCCTTCAGTTAAAGCGGCCTAACCCCAATGCCTGTTGCGCGCGCACCGGGCATCTAAAGCATATTTAAAGCACACGGCTCCCCGCAACGAATCCTAGGAACCGTCGTTAGTTTAGGGAGCAGGGAATTGTAGCTCTGTGGGGGGCAAACTGCGGTTCCCGGGACTTTGGGGGGGACTCGGTGTGCTCTAAATGTGTTTTATGCGTATTGCTTTCTATGAAAAACGCAGTTCAAGCCTATGCACTGGACTTACTCAGAGGCAGGTCCATTGAGGTCTGTGGGACTTACTCTCAAGAGTAACTGTGCGTAAAACGGGCTGCTTAATTTGCACCCAGGCTGCTTAGTCAACAACCACCCAGGATGTGAATGGACGAGGCACGTCTCCTGCTCCGCGATGGTGACACTTTAATCCTTTTTCTCTGCCTGGATTTTCCTGGAGAATATTTTTCTCTATTTAGCAGCACATTAGCGTTCTCTCTTTCTCCTTCCTGCCCCCACAGCAACCTCCCTCTCAGAGCCGAAACATCCTATAATCTAGCCAGATTGCTTTCAGTTTGTTGGGGGGTTTTTTAAAAAAACATTATCCGTCCCAGCTCTTTCTCAAAACCCGCAGCCCAGTCAAGGCTCTCAGACCAGCTTTTCTCCCAACAGAATTGCAGCTCCATCTGCATTTTCAGGGTGGCTAAAACATCCCTCTGCAAGATGAATTCTTCCCAAATCTTGAATGCCGCCATTCGAAGGCCCTTGTTCTTTTGGCCCTGCAAAAGATCTCATAATAAGACACTTTTCCAGGTCGGCGTTTTCTAGGCTGCGAAGTAGGCAGCGAGAGGGAAAATAAGGGAGACGTTTGTCAATTTCTTGCCCGCCCGCCCCCCAACTGTAATTGACACCAATCCGTCCACAACGTCTCCCACTGCAGCGAACGGCAGGCTGCGGTGCTCTTGCGCGGCTCCTGTTCATTGCAGCAAGGCTGTGCGCAGGAGACCTTCCGGCTGGATCGCGCCCACTCAATGAACCATCAAGCCAGATTCGCGCCCCCCGGATCTTCGGGGGTTTCTGGGAAGAGAGGCGAGCAGAACAAACCCCCTGTTCGACTGCATTCCTAACATTACAGAGTTCAGAAGAGGTTTTTGCAGCACCCTGTTCTCATAGTGGCTGAGGTGGTTGTTGTTATTATTATTATTATTATTATTATTAATTACATCGGTTCTGTCCTCACGGCCTGCCTTAAAATGAAATCTATCTTGAAGGGTAACGGCCACAAAACGCTGCTCGTGAGGACCGCCTCTCCCTCGTCGTTTTCCTACAAGCCACTGGCCTCGGCTTCCAGGCTGGACCGGCGGAAACGCACTGCGGAGGGAACGGCGCGTCTCCTTTCCCGGCCACCTCCAAGGCCTGCTGCTGCGTCCCTTCCTCTGCTCCCCGAGCAGAATCCTACACGGCACCCCTCACTCCTCTCGTCGCACCAGCAGCGCTGGAAACCGGGAGAGTCCTATCATCTGCCATCTTTTCGTCTTCCCCTCTTTAAAACAGGAGCAGGGATGGCGAATCGGCGAACCGCAGCGACGGCAAAGCGGAGCTTCTTTGGAGAAGATTGACGGGGAGGGGGGGGCTATGCTCCTTCCCACCCATCTCCTCATCTCAGTGGGTTTAAGACCATAATTTGACAGGAAGCAACCAGCATCCCAATATCAGAAAATGTTGAAAAGCCAGATCGGGGCTCCGTCCCAGCCTTCTCTTGAAGCTGCCTTAGTGTGGCAGTTCGGACTGGCCAGCGCTTTGCTGGCTGGGCAGGCAGGCAGAGCGAGGCCGCTTTCTCAGCTCCTCCCTACCTGGACCTACTGTTTGAGCCCGGGGAAAGCCGATTTCTTCGCCCCCTGAGCCAACGGGCTTCTCTGCCTCTCTCTCCGTAAAGCTTCGGATAAAATAATTTTTTTGCCCGGAATTCTAAGAAAGAATTAGGCCTCCAGAACACGCATTTCCGCCTTCGGCAGTGGTTGGAAGAACAACCCAGAATCTGGTCGCATCTTTAAAGGCTCACGCCATTTTATGGTGGCGCAAGCTTCCGAGAACTGGAGTCCGCTTTCAAAACTTATACTGTATCTATTTATTGAATTGTTATACTCTCCTTCATCCGTAGATCCCAGGGCGATTCTCAGCATAAAAAGGCGAGATAAAAACACAAAACACATAATAAAACCAAGAACAAACTAAACCAATAATCAAACAATCAAACAATGTGATGTCATTTGAGGCGCCGCAATATTCCTGGGCGGTTTAGCTACTACAGGATTCTAAAACAGCGATCTTTAATGCACGCCTTTGTTTCGGGCAAGGCTCTCCTGCAAAAGTTCAGCCTTTATAAAGTTGTGTGTGAAACATGGTGTATAATCATAATTTTATTTGCCAGGCGTGCAGCAGGCGCATTATACCACCACGCCGTAAAGTTACCAGCCTAGAACATCTTGTTGCGCGTGCGGACAGGGCACCATCGCGCTAAAAACTCCAACCTCCCTTATGGCACTGAGAGGCAGGTATACCTGGGCCCACCTGGCTGCTCCTGTTTCCTACGCGGAGCAGGCGATTTTGCCCGAGTTCACTTTGCTTTGGCCTGGTTTGTTAATTGCCTGTTTAGCGACCTGTTGCTTCTCTGAGCAGTCCATTTTTGGCCCATCAAGCAGGGACATAAGTTTGAAAAGTGATCCGCACACAAACGATGCAACTGAACATAGTGAAACATTCAGCAGAACGGAAATGCCACGGAGGCACCTTTATAATTTACAGAGGAAGGCTGAGATTTCCTGGGTTTTATTCCAGGTGGGGCTCAGGTTCCTCGCGTGGCGACTCTCCACACCTGAAGATGCCAACATCACCCTGAACGTCTCTTATGCCCTTACATTTCTGTCCGACAGTTTCGTCCGTGCGGCTTCCAGACGCTGACCACCACCACCCTGCTTTAGCCAGGTGGGGGCCTCAGATCTTCTTGGACTCCCCATCTTGTCTCCATCTCAGATGGATCATCCTCTGGGGCGCCTCCTCGGCACATTTCAGCCTCAGTCTGCCCGAACCGAGGCCACAGAAGGGACACAGGCGATGTCTGAACCGGCGCGCAGCCGGATCCTAAGATTGTTTTCAGACTGCCTTATACTTCCTCTCTGTGTGTATACGCCCTGAACATTAAAAACAACAACAGCTATGGGGGTGGCATAGAAATGTTTTAAATCAATCCATAGCAATCCTACACATTCTGGTTCACAATCCCCACCAGCCTATTGAAATGTGTGTGTGGATGGCGCCCATTAAAGAGCCAGCGCGGCTAAATTAGCATTTTAGGAACCGAATGTTTGCTTAAGGAGCTACATAAAGTTCTTTGCATGTCATCCAACCACTGTCTGCCTACACAGAGGGAACTCGTGATTTTGAAAGAAGATACAGGCAAGAGACGTTATGTGACCTCATTCAGACGCCATACACCAAAACGCAGCCGAGGCGAGGTCGGTGTGCTCCGGGAAAGTGACACACCAAACTTCCTTCTGCCCAGGCAGCCTCTGCTCCGCGCCTCTTCTTCGGCTCGACCTCACCTTGACCGCTGCCAAGTTCAAAACCAGCAGCGGTTAGAGAGACAGGAGAGTGTGTGTGACTTTCATGAGGCCTGAGCTGGTCTCTTTTCTGAACCACAATGAAACCCTCAGAAAACGCGTTTATTTTCACTTGGAGGAGTGGGTCGCTGGGGATCCGGGTCTCCCTGGGTCGCTGTTGCCTGCCGCTGACTCGAGAGGAGACCTGAGTTCCACCTGAGACTCCTAATTCCTTTTCAGTGTAGAGCGAGGGTCACTCTTGCCCCGAAGGAGACCCCGTTCTCCCCCTTCTCGGAAGTCTTTCCCCTGTTGCATTCCAAGAGGATACAAAGTTAAAAATTAGTTCTAGTTACAGGTAGGTAGCCGTGTTGGTCTGCCGTAGTCGAAACAAAATTTAAAAATTCCTTCCAGTAGCACCTTAGAGATCAACTAAGTTTGTTATTGGTATGAGCTAGAACTATGGAAGGCACCACATTGAGCAGCGTGAAATGGAAGCCCATCAACCGGTATCTGAAGAAGTGGGCATGCACACGAAAGCTCATACCAATAACAAACTTAGTTGGTCTCTAAAGTGCTACTGTAAGGATTTTTTTAATTTAAAAATTAGTGCAACGGAAGCAATGAATGAGCGTAAAATTGCAAAGAGGTCGCGTCCAGATTCGCACCAGAGAAGGAAATGAACGAGGGGTCCCTAACGCTGTTTCCTCGGGAGCGTAGAATGGGGCTAGTAAGAAATACTAGTATTCTTTCTTTCTTTCTTTCTTTCTTTCTTTCTTTCTTTCTTTCTTTCTTTCTTTCTTTCTTCAAACCTTTATTAGGCACTACAGATACAGACCATCTTAAAACATCCATATATGTACAAATAATCAGCCATATAAGATATATAGTAAGAGAAAATTTCATTGGAGTGTCTTCCTGCTAAACCGTGCCATTCACCACTCTAAGAGATACTATTGACAGAAACTGAGCCACCCTTGGAATTACCTCCAGGTTAAGAACAGACAGGTAGAATCTGATATTTTAATTGTGCCATGATGTTAGACAACCCCAAAGGGGAGATAACACGCGTTTATGTAGCTGGTTGTACAGTGGACAGTAGAAAAAATATGTTCTACAGTGTCCCGCACATTCAAATAACATCAGCAATGTTTATCATTTCTAGGGATGGTTAAATATCCGCCCTTAACAAAAGCTGAGGGAGAAACGTTCAGTCGGGCTAACGTAAATGTCCTGAGTTGGGCTGGAATTATTAACTTTGAGATAGAAGAGATCCTGTTATCGGTTGTATTTAAACCACAGAACTTGGGCGAGCAGATTTTATTTACAGCTGACTTAATGTTTTGTTTTTCAATGTCCCTTAATCTAATTTGGATATGGCGATAAATATATTGATCACTAGAATTATACAGTACAGTAATTCCAAGTCAATACCAATAGGTCTAATTTTGCTGTCTGGATTTATAGGAGTCCTTAAGTAAATCGGAAAGCAGACTCAAAGGTTGGGAACGGCAACGGCGACGCAGCCAGTATTTTATAGTGCTAGTCTACACTTACTTACTACATATATGTTCTATATTACTTACTACAAATTAGTAACTAGTATACTGACTAGTAGTTTGCTTACTAGTACCTATGAGTAAAAAGGCTGCACCAGAAGCTTATCATGTAAGTTAAACTTCAAGCTAAAAATGTATTTAGCTAAATGTGCCTTCTCCCCAAAATACCGACGGGCTAAGAGGAAGAAAGAGATGGACCGTGATTAATAGATGATATACAGGGAGATAATTGTTTTTCTTCTGAATCATTTTGTCCAACAGAGCAAACAATATTCCAGGATCGGGGCACATTTGGGAACACTTTGCTTCGATATAGGGTGCGGTTGGCCAGAGGCGGCGATAGGCGCCCTGCCAAAGAGATTTCTGGTACTTCGATGCCGCAGCTGCAGCCCTCACGTGGAAGCCTAACTTTTTTTCCCCTTTCCTATTAAATGTCTCAGAAAGCAACCCCAGTCTGACAGCTGAAAATGATTATCCTTTTTTTAAAAAATTCTATACATATATTCCACCGACCGACCATTCCAGCTCTGGGGAATAATCAGCACGTGAGAAGCATTCAAACATGAAGGGGATGGGATGCCATCCTGCAGACACGCTGGGTTAGGATCCTGCCAGCACTTTCAAGCGCCGTTCACTTTAATGGGAGAGCTAAGCACGTGCGGGAAGAAAAGACGACGGCAGAAGGAAACAGAAGCCCGTTTGTCCCTTTGCTGTTGCCACACATACGTTTTTTAAAAGCGAATATTTTCTAGAAACTGATATTCCAGGCGGGCACCGTCTCGACTGTAAGGCGTGCAGGCAAACTCCCTCGGAATCGGTAGTCACTCCGGATTTAGGTCAGCGTCCCTGAAGTTACCGCAACTGACCAAAACTGTAATAGATCAAATGCTGACCTCCAGCTAGAAGAGCGGCAGACGGTGGTCTTCGGTCTGGGTCGGTGTCCTCGGGGGGCCTTGACTTTTTACCTGTAAAAGAAGCGAGTCGTTTGCGTCTCGACGTTTCCCGTGACTAATAAAAGCTGATCTCTGCCTAAACCAATATCTGGAACTTTCTTCATTCCCCCCCCCCCTCTCCTTTCCCCGCTCTGCCTAGTAAACACGTTGTGCGAGGTTTATTTTGATTTTATTTCCGATTTCAACAAGTGACTTGAAAATAAAATACGTTATCCGACGAGGACGCATTCAAGCATTCTAAGTGGCTTTTAAAGCGCTTGAAAAATGAAATGAAAACGTGTCTCTTTATGTCTTGGTTTATTTTGGTGTGTGTGTGTTATATCTTTATTAATAATAATTATTGTCTTTCTTTCTCTGCAAGTCGAGACAGGGAAGGAAGGAAGTAGCAGGGAGAAGCTTGAGCGCCGAAGTCCTTACGAGGAGCTGCAACCTTTGGGCCCAATTTAGAGGGAAGTTCTCCTGCGCAGTTCTCCCTCGGTCTTCGGAGGAAATGCACTGGAGCTGTGGGGGACCCGGGTCATTGCATCGGGGCTTGCGCAGGAGAACTTCTCGTTGGCGAGAGCCGGGTTTTGAAACCGGCCTGCTTAGATTTGGTTCCCTCTTTCCCGGCGCGCTTTTTTACACCATCCAAGTCAAGAACGAAGATAGCTTCTCCCCGCTTTCTTTCAATTGGAGAGTTTTAACTGGTCTGGATACGCAAAGAGGCCGAGATTGTGCTCTGGGCTATACATTCCTGTGCACGCCTTGGACAATTTGGGCTTACACCCAAGTAGACCATCATAGGCTGGCTATGCAACTTGGGTTCCATCGCCATCTCCAGCAGAGTTTTTCGCATATATTTTAAATGCGCAAAACGTAAACACCCGCACACTTCCAAATATTTTATAATTTTTTTGTGGAGAAACCATCCCAATCTCTGAAGTTAAGAATAATACTAGTAATTTAAGGCAGCCTTTTGAACCACAGTTCGCTGCAAAGGGCCCGCTGCCTTGAATGCTGCGGGCAGGTCAAGCAAGGGCCATCCTCGGGCATTTCCTACGTTGCAGCAAAAGCCCTCTAATAATTTCTAAGGCCTGAGGGAGGGTAAGTATGCGGGCCAGAAAGGGATTCTTGGGATATAACCCTGGGAACGCTTACCAGGAAGCATGTAAGCTGGATTTGCTTTTGAGTAAACATGCAGAAGAAACTGTTTACTTGGCGATCGGAAAGTGAAATCTCCATGATCCTCAACTTGGCCCGCGCCTGCCACGCCAAGCCGGCCAGCGGAGGGTCCCAGCCTAGCTAAACCTGACCCTTACTGGCCTCCACTGAAAGCAGTGGGGCTTCAGGGAGTCGAGACTGGCTTGTTCCCTCGACTGGGTCCCGAGTCCCGTTAGCTGGCTCAGGAGTCAGTCGGTGGAGGAGCGTTGCTGCGAATTACATCGGTGAAAGCAAGTTCAGATAATGTATTTTTTGGCTGTGGCTTTTACGGCTCTCTAGATGCGCAGCCGGTGAGGCCATACAAATAAAATCAGAAGCGGGCCGCTGGACCTAAGAGGCTGTATCGTTTATTTCCAGAGTTGCTCATCTCCCCTTTTCCACCACCCACAGCCCAGAAAGCAAATCACTCGGGGTGGAGGCGAAGGGGAGGGGAGAGGCACAAATCCCAGGATCACTTGTCAGTCAGGTGGAAGGCTGTCACTCGAGGGATGAAAATACACACAAGGGGCCCATTTCGGTCCTGCAAAAGCGGCTCCCTGTGTTGGAGCAACATTTGCAGAGATGGCGGGAGACGTTTGCGGGGGCTTAGAGAAATCACTCCTCTCTATAGACACACAATTCAATCAGCTCCCCACCCAAATAAACCCGCCTCACCCACATTATCCCCCTACCAGCCCCCTTTTATATATATATATAAAAGGTTGCTTAGAAATCCGAAAAGCACCCTCGATTCCTCTGTCTCTTTTTCTCTCAAAAGGAAATGTTTCAGGATCACGCCAACCCTTCCATTTCCCTTTCAACCGCCCTGCTAATCATAATAATCAGCGCTCCCCTAATGAAGCGGGAACAGAAGGCACCTTCCAAAGTGGGCGAGACGTTTTCACCCGTCTGTTGAAAACAGCGACAACAAAAACACCCAGAAGCGCCATTCACCTCTGCATCCATCCATCTCTCCGGAGGGGAGCGCGCGCCTGGTCCTTGCTCGGCCTGCTGAAACGGACTTTGCCCAGACTGGCCAAGCATTCAGAGCCTGAAACTGACTGGCTGCCTTGTATTTGACAAGAGCAACAGCTTGAAAGTGGCGCACTTTAATTCACTTTACAGTGCTCACAGTTGCCCGAAAGGGAGAGCTTTAAGCAAGCCCACCAATTGTTCCTTACACTGCATTATTATTATTATTATTATTATTATTATTCCTTCCCTGGCAATGCTTCTTTTGACAAAGTCCAAACCCGGGGGGAGTTTTCCTTTGCGGAGCGGGGGGCGAGAATGCGTGCAGAGCCGAGTGGCGATTCTTTGTTTTGCCAATGAATGGCGAGGGACTCGCGAGCAGGAAATTACGTGTGTGGCCGCCAGTCCATTTGAAATCGCTCCTTTCCCTTCCTCGCCTGGCTCTTTATCCCCAGCTCGCACTGCTTCCCTCCTCCCCCCCCCCCCGCCCCTCAGAGGAACATTAAAGTGCCAGGGACGGAATGTGTATGCGTGTAGGATGGGGGGGGGGGAGAGAAGGATTTCCTTTCTTCAACAAATAAATGGGAATTGGGAATAGGAAAAAACAACAACAACCAAGCGGTGGGTGGAGAGGAATTACGGATTGTCTCCTTGCCTCCTTCCCTCTTCTTTTTCTTCTTCCTCCTCCTCCTCTTCAGCGACGGATCCCTCCCACCTCCCCACCCCCCCTCCTCTGCCCCCCCCCTCGCACGCCGAAATTCTCTCCACCCACGTTGCCAAAGACGCATCGATCTCCCATCCGCGGAAGGTCCAACCTGCAAGGATGTGAAGTGCGGGGGGGGGGGAGAAGCCGGAGGGAGGGGGAGGGAGAGGGAGGGAGGGAGGGAGGGAGGGCTCGCTTAGCTGCGCTCTCGCCTCTCGCGCCTGGTCCTCCTTTTCTGCCTTTGCTCATCAGAGGGAGACGGAGGGAGAGAAAGAGAAAGAGGGAGAGGGGGAGAGAGAGAGAGAGAGAGAGGAAGGCAAGAGAGGGATGGAACCGGGCGGCAGGGAAGCTCTCGCCAGCAGGCCGGACCGGTGAAGTTTGGCCGGGGCTGCCGAGCCGAGGGGCAGCGGCAGTTCCAATGGGGGTGGGGGCAGCTCAGGAGCCTGGATCCGAGCGGGGAAAGTTTTTAACTCTTCGCCTGCCCGATTGACATCCTTTGGCTCCGCACCTTTCCTAAAGGAGAGCATTCCCGGGAAAGCAGCTTGGAAAAGAAAGGAATCAATCGAGGCGAGGGGTTTCTGGACACCTCAAGACGGGGAAAACTGGGGGGCAAATCCGCCTCCCAGCACCATGCTGCTGCTGCTGCCGGCCTGGGTCGCCTGGCTGGGCTTCCCGGCCCCCGATTGCTGACCCTCCACTTTCGGGGAGCGCAAACGGGAGGCAGCAAGAGGAGCGGGGGAAAGTGGAGGGGGCAGCCGGCGGATGTTCCATCCCCGGGCCGGGGCGCCCCCAGGCATGAGCGATGGGGGGAGCGAGGCTGGCCGACGCGCCCTCCTCCTGGGGGACCCCGGCGGCGCCCCGGAGCGAGCCCGGGACAAGGAGGCGCGCGCAGCCGCGCTGGAGAGCGCAAAGTTGCGCGGAGGGGCCCCTGGAGGAGGAGGAGGAGGAATCAAGGACCTGACGGCGGGGACCTCGGCTGCCAGCCCCGGCTCCTCCAAGGAGTGCGCCCCGGAGACGGAGAGCCAGCCCTCGGCGGGCGAGGCGGACTACTGCCGCCGGATCCTGGTGCGAGGTAAGGGAAAGGCCCCCCGACTCGCGGAGGGGCGCGCGGCGGCTCTTGTACCCCGGCCTTCCCTCCGATCCCAAATCCAACTCCTTCGACCAAAACGCACACCTGCTGCATGTATCCCGACCCACCCACCGCGCGGTCAAGATCTGCCTCCCCCTTATCCACATCTGTCGCCAAAGTCCGGCTCCAGAGACTTCTTCACCCAACCCCACGTTGGACCCTTTTTGCACGCTTCCTGCTCCACCTGTTCTTTTTTTGGGGGGGGGCATTTTAAAAACCAGAACACCTCTGTCTTTCTGCAAAGATGCGCGCCAAACCTACCATCGCCCTCCAGCCACACTCTGCCCCCCATTCCTTCTCCCTCTGCCCCTCTCTAAACGCTTCATGCCCTTTCCCCCTAGCTCTCCAGACCCCAAACCCCGCTGTGCCTTCGCTTCTCCTTGCCCCAGCCTGCGCCGGGTCCCTCTCTGCTGCCAGTCTCCTTCGCCCTCTTGAGACCCGGCCGGGTCTCGGCTGCCCAGTTCACTGTCTCCAACCGTGGCTGGCCTGCAATTGTGTCCTCCCACCGCCCAGCCAGCCAGCCAGCCATCATCTCCCTTCCCCCTCAGCATCTCACCCTCCTTGAACGCTTTCCCTGCTCCAAAAAAGCGGCCCTCCTCTCCCCCCATGTATCCCTACTTCCCATCACATCCCTCCCGCCTCCCCAAATCTGGCCCCATATGCTCCTTTCCAGGACCCTCCCGATGGAGCAAGGAAGGGGCACAGCTAGCGACAGGAGCCCGATCGCATGGTTACTGCTAAGGGCGCGAGTGGGGGGCTGATTTGGGCTCTGGCGCGGGTGGGGGGAGGTTGGGACATTGCAAGCAGGCAATGGCACGGGGGTGGCATTTGCAACAGAAGCAGCAGATGGAGGCGATTTTTTTTAAGGGAATCGGTCTTGCCCTCGTCTCTCTCTCTCTCCCCGGAGCTGCCCGTCTTTGGGGGGGAGGGGGGGCAACGCGTGTGCGCGCGTGATAATAATTCCAGGTGGCTGCCTTGGCTGGCAAGCTGTTGTCGCAGGAAAACAGCGTCACTGCAGCACCAGCAAGTCAAAAGCTATTTTCTCCCCGCTTCTCTCTCTCTCGAGCACACACATCCTGCACTGAGCTCTTGGAAGGAAGGCAGAGGCTGAAAACGTTCCCCTGGGTTCCCTCTGCTCGTGACCCTCCCCGGCTCTGCCCGCTCAAAAAGGGGCTCAACCCTTTGCCCGAGTCTTTCGAGGATGGGGACGGGACCCCACAGAAAGTGGGCTGCGCAAGGGGGGGACGACCCTTTCACTGGAATCCAAGGCTGAGATTCCAAGCTGTAAATGCTTCCCCTGTTACGAAGGCCGAATTATTACCCTGTAGACGCACAATAGACTGAATCCAAAGGCAGCACAAAGAATATTCTCTCAGTTCAGCGCTGGTTTTGCTGAAGATGGCAGTAGCAATTATGCAGGACTAGAAGATTCACACAGCCAGCAATTTCTCTCTCCCGATTATCTTTCGATCTATTGGTCTTGGGTGTGTGTGTGTGGGTGTGTGTAAATCCTAAAAACCACGGCAATCTTCATTAGATGCACGCCATAAATCATAAATCTCTGTCTTGGTTTGGCTTGTTTTCCCCCATTCTTTCTCTCGTTTTTCCCCGATGCTTATCAGGTATCCTTGTTATGAGATTTAGTCTGGAGGCGCGTGAATCTTTTTCTCACAAACACAACATTTCAGCTACATGTGCTATATATTTTTACTCGATTGACCCGTCCTCTTTTCCCGCCCGCCCGAATCTAATTATTTTCGTTTCGTGACGTTTCGTTGTTTTTCTCCTTCGTTGCGTTTCGTGATGATAGATAGATGAGTTGTTGTTGCTTGTCGAGGATCCACGGACTCCTCTCGCCCACAGTTGCGCTCAAAGCAGTTGGGCAAAATTAAATAAAAGGAATCGCGTATGATAACTGAGAAATGCATCCATGCAACTTCTTGGTTTTCTTCCGAGGCCTTTGGAGACTCTCGGAAAGAAATCTCGGGCGGGCTGCAGGCCTGGAGCCTGGCGAGGGCCGGCTGGTGACTTCTACAGCAGGGTCCGGATCCTCTCTGGAGCTGGCCGGTTCCTCTTTGCAAAAAAAAACACACCCCAAAGGGCTGCGGTGGCGGAGGAGCAATAGCCAAGATGCATCCCCAAGAGAGCAGGGAGGGAGGGAAGGAAGGAAGGAAGGAAGGAAAGTCAAGGGCCGAGAAAGCCCTCCTTGTCTGCTGGGCCTGGCCTGAAAAACCACGGCCCTTCATTGTTTGAGTCACTGCCGGGTTTTGCGCCCTAGAGACATCAGTCCTTCCACGTACATGCACACGCCACACACAACTGCTTATCTCCTTTTGCAACGAGACCTTCCCAACGAAACCTCAAAATATTTGAAGCGAATAGGCGCATTCTCCTTGCAAAGATTTTAAATATATTTTTGCAACGGCGGGAGCGAAAAGATCGGAGACCTGTCTAAAGTGGCGACCGGCCCTGTGTCCCTCTCAAGCTCGCCCGCAACCCCTATGTCTTTCTGGCACCCACCCAAATTGAAGGAGGAAAAAGGCGGGAGAGGCTTGAATTCTGCAGATTTGAATTGTGTGTATGTGTCTGTGTTGAAAGATAATTTGCCCCTGAGAGATTGGCACGAAGCCTGGGCCTAAACGGCGAATATTTGCAGAAAATCCCACAGAAGGAGAAAAAGAAATCTAGGCATTTCTGCTTCCTGGGTCCTGCCTATCCCTTGTTCTCCCGTCGCCCTCTGGCCCACCCAGTGAAGCCTCCAGCCATCTTTTTTCCATGGCGCCCTCGCTCTCATCCGTTTCTCTTTCCGTTTTCCCAGCTTAGCCTCGAAGCCTGCGGGAATTCAAGGTGGTTTTTTAGAAAGATTTCCGCGTCACCGTCTCTTTCTCCGTCCTCCTCGCCTGCTTGCTGGGAATATATGGCTGATGCGTGTTTGAATTGGCGGATGGATGGAAGGATGGCTAGATAACCGTAGAGCCATAGGTCTGAAGGCAAGTACTGTGCGTTTGTACACACCGCCGAGTCACTCTCGATGGTCAAACAGGACGGATCCACGCGGCCGTGCAGACTCCCTGACATTTGCACGGAGAAAATTGCAAAAAACAAAACAAAAACCGTGGCGCGTTCCAGAGCCACTGCGACAGGAATGTGCATTATTTGTTTAAAATAAGTGATTGATTTAAATTCACATGCACACACATATGGAAATAAATTTAATAGGCAATAGAGAGAGAGAGAGGCTCGCTTGTACCCCGAGGCCTGGCCGTTTGGCACGCTTTGTTTGCAGTTATTTTCAACGGGAGTTGAAATCAACTTAGATCCAGATAACCTCAAATGGGTGATGGGATCTGGTCAGAAGGGGCAAGATTCAGTCGGATCGCCCAGGCACTTGGGATAGTTTCGTTGGTTTCGGTGGGAGAGTCGAGGGTCTCCTATCGAAATCTACGCGAAGGCGCTTACTTTGGGGCTGGATCGTGCCCTGCTTTGGTTAGGCAGCTTACAGTGCAATTCTGCACCTGTCTACTCAGAAGTAAGTCCCATCGTTTCCCGTTAGGCTCTTTACCCTCAGGAAAGCGTGTGCGGAACTGCAGCCTTCGCATTATCTAACCCTGCAGGGTGCGGTGGCTTTTGCCAAAGATAGTATTTGTTCCACTGACGATTTTATTGTTGTTGTTTTTTTAAAAAAGTAGGATTTGTATATTTGTATGCGTTGCTCACGTAAGAAAGCAGAAGGGAAGGTGAGGGAAATGGCAGGGGTTTGAGTTGACCTTCGCTGTCATTTGAGGACGCAGTCGAGGCTAAGAGAAAACAGCTTTGAAAGTCATATTGATTCTAGGGCACCAATCCACCGGGAAGGTCTCCTGCGCCAGAACCGGTGGAAGTAACTGCGCTTGTCTGCGCAGGAGATCTTCCGCGCTGACCTGCCCAGAATTAACGCTCGGATCCCTTACACTGGAGAAACAGAGAGGAAATCTGGTCAGTAGAGCAGGCCTTGCTCAGTTATAAAATATAGCTGGTTGCGCAAGGGGTGTGTGTGTGTGTGTGTGTGTGTGTGTGTGTAAGCCTCCCTTGCACCTTCCCCTTCCCTCAATTTCGCTCTCCACCTACATGTACGACCATTTGCGAGAGACAGTTGTGTAACCTAACCTCTTAGGCCCATGATCTTTTTATGTAAGTTGCATTAAAACGCGCGCGCACATCCTCCTCCCGGAGGTCCCTGAGTCTCGCTCACCTCTGTTTTCCCCTAACGCGGAGGCACCCCTTAATTTTCTTCGCTAGAAAAATGCCCCTAACTACGAACCAACCTTCCTTCTATCTCTAAGGCTTCCTCTTTTAGTTCCTCCCTTCCCTCTCTGAAAGACCCTTGTTTAAAAGCCACCACACGTCTCCTGTTTCTTTTCCTACTGACAGAGAACAGTATTGATGATGATGATGATGATGATAACAACAACAACAACAACAACAACACAGTAATAATAATACAGTAATAATATTGTCATGTATACGCCGCCCATCTGACTGGGTTGCCCTAGCCACACCTGGAAGCTTGCAACAAAACATTAACACACATATATTCTTAGGAGGACCCGCACTCTCCCTCCCCTGACGTGGTCAACAGATGACCCGCTTCTGAGGGCGTCTGGCCTGGCTCTGGCATCACACACAAGGCGGGGGGGGGGGGAGCGGCGGAACAAGCCAAGGAGGCCTCTTGTATGTTTCAGTTTCATCATGTCAATTTTGCCCTAGGACCCTATGGGGTGGTGGGGTTTGTTTAGTTTCCGCGAGGCACATGGCTTTGTGTAAGCGCAGATCTCAAATTTTGCATCTTGCGGGGGCGGGCTGCTGCTGCTGCTGCAGGGAATTTAGGGCGGGGAGGAAAGGGGACCCGAGTTTGTGTGTGCGCGCGCGTGCGCGTGCGTGTGTGTTTGTGTGTGTTTGCGTGCCTACGTGTGTGGAACTGGAGTGTGTTCCAGGGTTTGGCCTTATTTTAAAGCTGACGTTTGGAAGATGCACCGGATACCTTGAGAGAAGCCGGGGTCATCCAGAGGGCACCGGGACGCTTATACTTACAAGCTCCTGCGCTCCCTTGCCAAACACTTTAGCAAGCAAAAGCCTGGACGCTCGTTGGGCTGAGACGTGCTTCATCAGATCCTAATCAGCCTGGCTTGAAACTAAGTTATCGAGACAGATTAGGCCGGTAGGTGGGTCGGTAGGTAGGCAGGCTGATTACTGCACAGTGGAATTAGAGGGGGAAACGAGGGTCTCATTGGTAGCTAGAATCCGCACCGGGCAAGCGGTACAGGCCGCAAAAGAGCCGGGCGGTGCTAAGTACTTCCAAGTCACATTGATTTAAATGAGAGGGTTAAGCGCGCGTTGAAATCCCAGCCGTGGAAAGCGCTGAGCTCTGGATGGATCGGGCCCAGTGCTCGCTTACCAACAAAGCCAAGTGCATTCGCCTACTTTCCTTGTCTACAACCGCCCAGGACACGAGATGCGGTTTTATTTCTGCTCAAATTGTGTGCTATCTGCCGTGTGTAAACAGATCGGTGATTTATTTGCAAATATCTAACACTGCCTTGGCGAGGTTTGGGTGGGGGACACACGACTTCTTTAATTTATATATAATTTATAGAGGACCCGTCCTATATCCACTGGCGTAAATCGCTTACAGTTCATAACTTTAATATGTGATTTTTTAAAAAAATGATAAAATGGAAATATTTAGGCCTTTTAAAATCACACACCATTTCCTTCCCGTGGATTGTGGCTGGACTGGACTTTACATCCGAGGAACCCAGCAGCGGTAGGCCCCTGGCGTCCGAGGAGATCCTGCTCAGGAGCCCGACCAGCTGGATCGAGCCCCATCTTGGTGTCGGCTGAAGAGGAATAAAGGAACAAACCCTAATTCTGACCATATAACGATTTCTAGGGCGCTTTTCTCTGTTGCGCCAACGCCTGACCCTTTTCGGAACCTGCTTCCAGGCGCCCGCGGTGCCATTTTGAGGACGTGGAGCCGCGTTTGCTCTTCCAAACAAGCAGCCAGAGGCCTTCGTGGACCATGTCTCCCACGCCACTTGCCTTCCCAACTCCTCCTCTCCTCCCCTTCTTCGAAACCGGAACGCGCTTCCCTTTTCCTGCAGCATCTGATTTTGATCCGGATTGCAAAAGTTAAACGAGAAATGAAGAACCGGAGGAGATTCCGCTTCGCGCTGTCAGATTTCCTCCATTTTGCCGCAAAGGCATCCCCCCCCCCCCAGCTCTGACAAAATGGAGGCAAAAAGGGTGGTAATTCCATAAAAAGGACCAAGAGAGACAGTCCTAAGATCCCTTGGGATCAATGCCCAGAACTCTGCCGGATTGTGATCAAGGCCCGAGCGCGCAAACGCAGCTCACAACGCTTTTACGCAGAGACGAAGACCCACTGATTTCGGTCTTAGATTCACTTTCAAAACCACCGCAGGTTTATATGTGTGTATCTGAGTGTGATTTATATTTATAGCCTTTTTTGGCCTAGCGACTCCAATACATGATCACTATGTGTCTAACTGCTTCGGTCTCAAAAATCGAGATTTGAGGATGTTTTCCTTTCCGAAATCCGGCCTGGGATTTTCTTCGGGAAGCAAATCCTCTCACTCTCTCGCAATTTCCGCCCCTACTTTCTCTCTTTTAATTCCGATATAGATTTCTTTGTTGCTGCTTTTGTGAGAAAAATGGAAAATTGTTGCGGATTCGGGGGCTAGATGAACAAATTTCATATTAGCAAATATACACCGGTGTCCCGTCCCCCCCCCAAAAAAAAACACCCCCCAAAACACTCGGAGCGGATCTGTCCTCGCGGCCTGCTGCTCAACCCCACCCAGGGAACGCCGTAGCGCTTTTGCGCAGTAATTTCCGCCGGGCTTGCGGAGACCTTCCCGCTCGGTCGCTTGAGAGCGCCGCTTCCTTATTTATCTCAGATAATATCATGAATTTCGTATTTTTATTATTGCCTCAACTTCGAAAACTGTGTAACAATAGTCACTATTAAATGATAGTGTATTTCTTTGTTTTTGAAATGATATGAAGTGTGCATGTGTTTGTGTGTGTGTGTGTGTGTGTGTGTGTGTGTGTGTGTGTGTGCGCTCCTACTCCTTCCTGTGGATTCTCCCCTCTAACATGCTTTGCGGGGGGGCGGGCGAATTGAACACAGTCCAGGGATGCAATTTATCCAGAGATAAATTATTGGGCGTCACCGAAATAAACAGGAATTCACTGAGACTCGCTTCATGCCTGCCTTTGTGGCATGAAAACAGAGCTTTAATTACTATCATTTATTTCGAAATTATTATTTTTTTCTATCTTCAAAAACTGCGGGTAACTGCTAAGAGAAAGTCGACTCCGCCTCTTCCCTCCCCCGTCATGTTATAACTGTTTTTATTTCACATTTACAAGGGCACTATGAATATTTCTGGATAATTAATACACCCCAGTTTTGAAGACTTTTATTGAGTGATCCAAACGCAGCAAAGCAAAGAACCAAGCGGTTAGATATTCCTTCGGAACATAAAGAAGTCCAGTCCAAGATCAGTCAAAAGGATGGGGATATTTTCGTGGAAGCGAAGAGGGCTGATAGCCATGGGTATTCACATGTAATCAGAACCGAATAAAATAAAATTTGGTAGGAACCTGCCAGTTACGACTTTGCTTTTTAATATACACCAGCAACACCCGTAGCGGGGCAGTCCATTGCCTTATCTTATACTGTATTCCCATGTGCCCGTGTATGTAATCATTATATGGATAAATTGTGTGTGTTGAGAGAGAGACGTTATCTATCTACCTGGTGCTGGAGCAACATGAAAAGTGCTATACATATGATAATGCAGGAAATTCTGTAACACCGCGCTGGTAGATAATATAGACGTAGCGCACACACCACCTACAGGGTTCGCGCACACGTATAATTTGCGAGCGCAATTCTTCAGACGAGGCATCCACGCAGAACCGAAAGGACCCGAGGCGCAAAAATAAGCGCCAAGGGATCCAGTCGACCCAAGGCCTCGGGGCCACTTCTGCACGAGCCGGAGGAGCGTTTTGCTCCGCGAGGGGGTCTCTGGGCCTCTGCCCGGTCCACGGACTCGTCGGGATCTCCCGCCCTATGGCCTAGCCCATCTCCCACAGAGGAACACGTATCCTGCAAATCAGCTCTCCAAACTCCAGGGCTTCGGCTGGACTGATGAAAAACAGAAACCCCCAAGAGTTTGGCGGTACCTAGAAAATGACATATATTTATTAGGGCAGAAGTTTTCGGGGATCTCGTTCCCCTTCGGTCAGATACAAGAGCCGAGCGGTGCTGGGAATCTACAGGCTCCTCGCGGGAGAGAGATCTTTTCAGAGCCCACGCTAATCTCCAGACTGTAAACTTGTTTTAACAGGCTTGAATCTTTAATTTTGATATTGTTGTCGCCCACCCTGGGGCTTGATGGTGAAAGACGGGGAAGAAATCCATCAAATGGCGTTACTACATGTATTTATTTATTCATATTAGGATTAGGATTATTCACAGGTGCCACGTACCACGTTCTGCATTTGTAAGAACTCCGTATTTTAGTGTGGCAGCACCTGCACTTTGGAACTCCCTGCTTATTGATAATCAGGCAGGCGCTTTCTTTGCGTTTTCGGCGGCTGCTAAAAACATTCCTGTTGAGACAAACCCACCCGGATCCTTAGAAAGCTGAGCGGAGTTTTAAAGCGGCTTTTAGTCTAGTGTTATTTTAACTTTTTGAAAGTTTCATGGTTATTTTAAATAACAAAACTGCGGTTTGTTTTTAACAATCAAACGATGTGTAAAGCTTATGAAATTTATATTAATAATTATAGAGATAATATTTGTAATGATAGATAGATAGACCGATAGATAGATAGATGAGAGTGGTTCAACCCTTTCCCTTTCATCTGGAAATATTACTAGAGTTTCCTTCCTTCCCAGAGAGGTGATTTCGATCACAGGTGGGAAGGAATAGAGATATAATAGACGACAGAAGAATAAAACAGAACCCACAGGCGAGGCGCCCTTTTCGATGCGCGAATATGTCAAGATACGGTCCGCTGTCCCGCCACGTCCCTTGCTTTTTCTCGAAAGCGGATACACTTGATGTCTCTGGACTTTCTCCTGAAAAGTCAGATGAGATCTGGCTGGCGTTGAAAGGGCCTGTGGATCGAGGCCTTTGCATTCTCCTCCCCCTCCGGCTTTAAGAAATCTAACTAGATAGCTGCCTGGGTTTTTGCGCAGCGAGCGACCGCGTCATCTCCTCGTCACGGCCCCGATCCCCTGGAATGGCAAGATCTGCTTGCTAGGGGAGTTTTCCCATCACCTCCCTCGATCCTCGGCTTCAGCCGCCTCCAGAAAGCGGCCCCATATTTCTCGTTTGATGGGAAACTGATACCGGGAGAGAAGAACGAGGGGCAAATCCAGACAGGCGGATCACTAGCTTCCAGCGAACGGTGTGGATGTGGACAGGTACCTGCGAAGGTACCAAGGTCGCCGTCAGGGCTGTTTTACTCCACGGACCTCCATTCCAGGAATTTTGCATTTTTATTTTTATTTTACACAAAGTCTGCCCAGCGCCTGCTGCGCTAAGCGGCCCCTTTGCCCATAAAATACTCGTGTGTGTGTCTAAATAACACACCATCTGTAATTTATCAATCGATCGATCGATGTTTCCCTCCTCAAAAATCAAAGTTTTCACTGATCCTTCGGCCATAACTCCGAAATGCAAATTCCTTATTGCAATGGTTGTGTTTCCCACCACCGAGAAAAAACACCTCGTTTCTAGCGCAGAAACCATTATTTAGTTATTAAAATATTTGTATACCGCTGGGTCATCACACACACACACACACACACACACAGGCGATTAACAGCAAATAAAACATCAAACCATGCAAGAAGACCAGAAAAAAATTTAAAACATCAATTAAACATTGTGGAGAGATGTATTTTGAATTGCCTGCCCAAGCCTGGTGGAAAAGAAAAGTTTACAGCAGTCTTTAATAATAATAAGTTGGCACGATAAAGTGGGATAAATCAGTTTCCTTCTCCTCTGTTGTTACCAACCGATAGATCTCCCTAGACAAGTTGAATTCTAGAATTCGCTGGGAAATATCAGACAAGCTCTGCCGCCTTCGCGGTCCTGCGAGGGGGAAATTCTGCGCGGCCATAATTCTGGTTGGACAGCCGAATCCAACCCGTTCCTGCGCCCCTTCCATTGCCTCCATTCCCAGCGCGGAGGAAGAATCCGCCTCCTTTGAAAATTGGCAACAATCACAAGGTTTACTCGAAAGAGAAGAGAGGGAGGGAAAAGGAGGAGAGAAAGAGAAGCCAAACTGAAAATACTATTGCGCCATCACCACGCCCGAACACTCTTGGCGCCCCGACTTTTGAAAGATCTCTGACTGGTTCTTGGCCCGGGGTGGGAGTAGCGGATTCACACGTGCGCCCGTGACCGCTGAACCTGGCGCATTCCCCCAGCTGGGAGACGATGGCTGCCGCTGGGTCGTTTCTAGTCCACCCCTCAAAAAAGTGCATTTATGGTGAAACGGCTTCCTGAAATTTTATTTCATTTTATGGGAAGCGTTTGATAAACGACCCTTGGGGACGCTGGACTTCTCTGGGGTATTCCATCACGTGTGAACGCACCATTCCAATTTCATTCCCAGCTTTACAACTTCCTGATATATTTGGGGCGGGGGGAGGGAGTGTCACCGAGAAGGGAGGTGCGGGTCAGCTCGCCATGCGTGGGGAATCCTCTGAGCATGTGCAGCTTGGCCTTTTAAACTCGCTTAAATTATAGCTCCATCATGACTGTGGGAATAAAAAAAGGGGTCGGTTTCTGCAGCCCCGAGGTCGAATACATTTCCTTTGGAATTAAGAGCCGTTGTGTCCCTCTGCAACAGTTGCAGGACAGGAAAATATGTTTTAAAAGGAAAGATACTAAAAGGAGCATCTGTAGCTATATGTGCATTCCTGGCTGCAAACCGAGAAGGCAAAAAGGCAGAATTCAGACCGCAGCTGCACCGGTAGGCCTGGCCTGGAGTGTCCGTCCGGAGCTGCTGGCCGCTGCAAATTTTGGAAACGGCTGGGCTGCGAGGTCCTGAGTCCAGTCCTGTGGTTGTTTAGTCGTTCAGTGTGTCCGACTCTTCGTGACCCCATGGACCAGAGCACGCCAGACACTCCTGTCTTCCACTGCCTCCCGCAGTTTGGTCAAACTCATGCTGGTACCTTCGAGAACATTGTCCCACCATCTCCTCCTCTGTCGTCCGCTTCTCCTTGTTCCCTCCATCCTTCCCAACATCGGGGTCTTTTCCAGGGAGTCTTCTCTCCTCATGAGGTGGCCAAAGTATTGGAGCTTCAGCTTCCGGATCTGTCCTTCCAGTGAGCACTCAGGGCTGATTTCCTTCAGAATGGAGAGGTTGGATCTTCTTGCAGTCCATGGGACTCTCAAGAGTCTCCTCCAGCTCCAGAATTCAAAAGCATCCATTCTTCGGCGATCAGCCTTCTTGATGGTCCAGCTCTCATTTCCATACATCACTACTGGGAAAACCATAGCTTTAACTATACGAGTTCAGTCCTAGGGAAGAGTATACGGTATAGGCCCGGACTTTACTCGAAAGTAAGTGCAAGGTGGGGTGCTTCTTGTGTTTTCTTTTGACCGTCTTTCTCATGAGCAAGCCCCCTTGAAACGAATGAGAGATGCAGAAGATGCATTTTTCTAATGCTTACATTGATATAGCCCGCCTTTCCTCCCAAAGGAGCCCAAGGCTGCGAACAACCCAAACCTCTAAAAACAGTGCCAGCCCAGAAAGGCAGACATGGAGGGACCTCTCCTTTTAAAAAAATTCATTGTGCAAGAGACAGATCTTCTTTAGCAGACTGGAGAATTGAGCAGTTGGTTTGCCTCTTGCGAGGAGAGAGGTGCACACTTGACCTGGCGTCCTTCCTTCACAGGATCAGTCCTCTCCAAGGCGGGGCCGTTTCTGGATAACACCCAGCGCTGTGATCTGCGCCCTCGGCTCCGCGGCCTGGTCCAGATCATCTGCCCAATACATTTAATAGCAAAAGAGGATGCAAAAGTTGGGTCCGTTCCCATCACCAACTTCTCTGCTATATGCTTGCTGGTAGTAATGCTAGCCTACCAGACAGGGTTGGTGTGAAGATCGCTCAGATGAAATACGTTAAAGCTTGAGATGCGCACGTTACAATTGCTACAGCCGCAGCCCTGACCCCCCTGCTAAATAAATCGTATTTAGCGCTTGTACTGCGCGCCGCCGCCCCTCTGTTTTTCAGAGAGAGACTTGGCTCTTTCAACTGCTCTTACCAGCAAGCATACAATGACCGTTGCTTCCTGCTAGTCGCCTCGGAGTATGCAAAAAGAGGCCATGCTTTTCCAGGAGGGTGTGTGCGATTTATCTTCTTTATCTTCTCCATATCTCTCTATATATTAGCATTCTATTTATCAATATATTTGAGCTTTGATTCCTACGCTGCTTCAGGGGTTTCGACCAAGCGATCCTTGATGGGGATCCCTTCCAATTCTACAGTTCGATGATTCTATATCCCACCACAATGCATCCCAACAGGAAAAACAACAACAATTGCACCATAATAATATCAGCCACTTACGACACAGAATGTCTCAATGTGACTTATAAAAATGTCACACCTGCAATTGCCACAGGGAACTAACCAACTTCATTTACCAAGAGTGGCCATCTTGCAGTATTATATAAAGGAAAAAGCCAGCCACACCCTGATGAACCCCCAAACAGGCAAGGGGTATGGTCCCAATTAAAATTCTAGCGTTTTTAATCTTGTATTTTTATGTTGTGAACTGCACTTAGGGCAGTATATAAATTTGATGATGATGATGATGATGATGATGAATAAAGAGGAAGAAAGTCCTTGCCTGGCAGCTAGAAGTGGAGAAGGATGGCTGGGAAGAGCATTCCAAATATAATAATAATAATAATAATAATAATAATAATAATAATTTATTATTTATACCTTGCCCATCTGGCTGGGTTTCCCCAGCCACTCTGGGCGGCTTCCAACAAAACACTAAAATACAATAACCTATTAAACATTAAAAGCTTCTCTAAACAGGGCTGCCTTCAGATGTCTTCTAAAAGTTTGGTGGTTATTTTTCTCTTTGACATCTGGTGGGAGGGCGTTCCACAGGGCGTGTGCCACTACCGAGAAGACCCTCTGCCTGGTTCCCTGTAACTTGGCTTCTCACAGGGAGGGAACTGCCAGAAGGCCCTCAGCGCTGGACCTCAGTGTCCGGGCAGAACGATGGAGGTGGAGGTATACTGGACCGAGGCAGATATAGGGTAGAATGATCAGGTTTTATATCACATCCGATACATATGTGGGGTGGAAGGGGCTTCACTAATCATTCACCTTCCGCATCTCTAGTTTGGTATATCTGGGTTGTTGGTTTTTTGACAAGTACTGCTGGAACTGTGTAGATGAAGAGGTTAATAACGTATTTTGCAAATCTGCCTCTTCATGCATCTTTCTGTTCTTTACAGATGGCAAAAGCCCCACAGTAATTTTCAGTACATAAAATGCCAGTGGACAGCGTCTATTGGGAAGGTCTCCTGCACAAGACCCATTGCTATGAATGGGAGATGTCTAGTAGTAGGACCTTCCACATGCATAGCACCCAGTGACTTCAAAGGGACTTGTGCAGGAGATGTTCCCAATCGACCATAACCAATGATTCCTCCTTAGATACCACATGGAACACTTCAAGATGATTTGTTTATTGAGCATTCCTTATGATCTGTTTGCAGGGAATTTGGATATTTGCTCCTCGATGGGCATTTGTTCTGATAAGTTTGCAGGGAGGTTAGACAACAAAGAGTGTTAACTTCACACTTTCCAGTGTGGTTCTCCATCACATCCCTTATCACAAAACTCTGATCTTCTGAGATAGCAGGTTGGTTGTGCAAGACCTCCTAATCAATGGCTGGTATTCTGAGAAAATAGTGACAGTCTGGAAGCCTACAAAATTTTCTAGTTTGTAGCCAGTCTTTGTTGCGCTGCGGAGTGAGCAACAAAATGTCCTGTTGTCTAGGCCAGACAAATAGCTGCAGAGGATTGTCGTGCTTCTGGAAACAACATTTGGAATCAATGGCATTTTTTTCTGGGTCGTGTCTTTAGGATTGGAAGAAGTGGAACTCTAGTTCCACTAAAATGATCTGGGCTGCTCTTGATAGAGGTGGCATTCTTTGGCTTCCTCCAAAAATATTCTCTCTCTCTCTCTCTCTCTCTCTCTCTCTCTCTCTCTCCTGCCCATCCAAACAAATTAGGTTAGGGGTTAGAGACATTCTTCTCCTCCACAAGTTCATCCTTTGCACCCACATCCTTCTTATGGGGACTTGTGGGTGCTGCCAAGTCACCCGCTGTCCTCTCACTCTTGCGTTTTAAAATATTTGGTGTTTTTATATTGTATTTTCATGTTGTGAACCTCCCAGAGATCTAGGGATGAAGGGCAGTATACAAACTTAATAAACAAACAAACAAACAAACATGCATTTTATGGACTTCCACAATGTGAAGAAAACCAGCAATTTATTAAACATTTTCATTGTCACAATGACAATATAAACAAGAGCAGGCAGGCAAGAGAAGGGTAGGATGAACAGTCCAACCCAGATGCAGAGTTTTGAAAAGCAGGTGCAAAACTATCCAGCAGAAAAGAGGACGCTCTGATAAGTCATAGAATCATAGATTTGCAGAGTTGGAAGGGGCCCCCCAAAGGTCATCCAGCCCCACCCTGCGCAATGAAGGAATTTCAACTAAAGCATCCATGGCAGGTGGCCACCCAACCTCTGCTTCAAAATCTCTAAGGAAGGGGAGTCCACCACCTTAAACAATGCCTCTGTTGTTACTAGGCTGTGGCCACTGCGGAAGGATAGAAAATCCAGTATTTGTTTTCAGGTAGACGGAGGCAGAAAATAACAAGCTAGATAAGGAGGATAAAGCAGGGGGTGGGAATAGATGGGGAGGCTCAGATGGGAAGGGATGTTTTGGGGCGTCAGCTGAGCAAGGAGTCTGATTAACAGGTAGCAAGTTGTTGGACTGGGCTACATTCTTCTTTATTTGAATTTGTTAGTAACTTTATACAGAAGAATCTGGAGGCAACTGAGTAACAAGATAAAATACAAACAGGCGAAATCAATGCTGCGAAGCCGCGCCAAAGCAACAGTATGCAATGATAAATTCCTTTTTCCCCAAAAAAATTTTTGTTAGTTTTTCAACAAAGTTTCAAAACAAACAAATAGTCAAACAATACAAACAAACACAAATCTTCACTCTATTCAAACCAAACTTCAGTAACTTTGTTAAGTGACTTCCTCGTATCTCCCTGGTTGAATTTCAGTGTAAATTATTTTAACGGTTTTCCAACACCAATATTCTTAAAAAATTAACTTATTCATTAACATCTTTCTTTCTTTTCAATTCAGCATTACATCATCTTAATTCATCACTTAACGTATTAAAATCCTAGGCCTATCTGGTATTTACAAGCTTTTTCAATTAAATTAACATGTTTAGCTAAATAATCTTTAAATTTCGTCCATTCTTCCCGGTAGTCCTCCTCCTTCTGGTTGCGGATTCTCCCAGTCAGGTTGGTTAGCTCTAAGAAGTCCATCATCTTCATCTGCCAATCTTCCACTGTTGGTATTTCTTGTGTTTTCCAATTCTTAGCTAGTAAAATTCGAGCACCAGTTGTGGCATACAAAAATAATTTAACATCTTAATGCTTAATGCTTCCTATGATGCTCAGCCAACAATACAAGTCCTGTCCCCATCCTATTAAAAGATGTGGAGAAGCTAACTTAACCCACACACGGGATTCTTCAGCTATGATTCCTGCATTGCAGGGGGTTAGTCTAGATGACCACTGGGATCCCCTTCCACCTCTACGATTCTATGATTTTATGAAAAGCCTGAGAAGATGAACATATCTTAGCCTGTTGGGAGATCCTTGGGAGGGCAGGAATGAGAAATGGGAGGAGGGAAGTCAAGGTGGTGGAAGGGAAAGGAAATAGAAAACTCTCTAAATTTGTTTTGAGGAGATGAATTGAAAGCCCTTGAAGGTGAAAGGAAGCTAATATTTCCCTTGAAAGAAGAAGGAAAGAATCTGGGAATAGTTTGGGGAGGAATATTGTGAGATAGTTGGCGTATTGTTTTCTTGCTTGCTTTAATTATGCACTTTTTCATTAATTGGTATTTTATATTTGTAAACTGCTTGGAAGCCACTTTGGCACTTCAGGAGTATATAGAACAATCGTTTGAACATACGCAAGTCTGAGAAAACACACCATGCAGAACTGAATATCTGAAAGCCCACCCTTATTTATTTAGTTCATAAAATCTGTACGCTGCTTGATTGTAAAAAACAACAACAACCAAATCTCAAAAAAAGATAAAACAGTAAATAATAATAATAATAATAATAATAAACCAATAATTTGAATGAATGAATTTTATTATTTCGGTCACAGACCAGTTCCAGCCCACATACAATATCAATAATTTAAGGCTTTTGGAAAGCTAAAATAACAGTAAACTGGAAACAGATTAAAACTCACACCAACTTTCTACGTACATAGGTGAGCAGGCTTGTCTGAACAAAGATGGGAAGTTCAAGATGGTGGTGGTAGCAACCTAGGAGAGGCTACTGTTTTTGGCGGTGGCTGAGCTGTGGAATTTCCTCCTCCACATGTCCGTCTGGTGCCTAAACTGTACAGCTTTAATAATATTCTGAAAATGCACCACTTCAGCCTACCTCTCACCCCTGAGATAACCTATTTTTAGAGTCCACCTTAGTCTTCCCATCGCAAATGGTTTTAACGGATCTTAATCTTGTATTTGTATATTGTGGCAACTCTACCTGGGACTTTATGGAGAAGGGCGGTTAAGAAATCAAAATCAATAATAATGATGATGATGTAGATTTGAAGATGCAAGCACATGGCTTGAACCTTTCCAGATCATCTGCCTCTTACGAACTAAATGTTGTCCCTAAACCCAAATCCTTGTGGTGTGCCTCTCACTGAGACAGAAAGGTGTGTCTGCCTCAAAGAATTCCCCATGCTCACACACCCGCCAACATTTCTCTGATGAAAATAGGGATGTCAAATATAATAATAATAATAATAATAATAATAATAATAATAATTTTATTATCTATACCCTGTCCATCTGATTGAGTTGTCCCAGACACTCTGGGCGACTTCCAATATATAGCTATCTCATTAAAAAAACCTTCCCTCTACAGGGCTGCCTTCAGATGTCTTCTAAAGGTTGTATAGTGACTTATCTCCTTATCTCCTTGACTCCGGGGTTGCATAACTCCATACCCTCCAACATTTCCCCGAAGAAAATAGGGTCATCCTAAGGAAAAGCAGGACATTGCTGGATCAGATCAGAAACTGGGGCAGCTTCAGTAAATCTGGTAGTGTCCCTGGAAAATAGGCACACTGGAGGGTCTGTGTTCAACTTGCTAAGGGCATCTCTTTGTGAACTCTGAAATCTTTGCAGTGAAGTTCTGATGGGGTTTCCAAGGCGGCTTATGAAGGGCTGATGATGAATAAAAGGGTTGTCTGCTAGGCACACCACAGTTCACTTATGTAATTGTTGATTTCTTCCCGTAAGAATGGCTATCCCCCACAGCTCTTGAAAGCTGCGTTTATCAATTATATATCTCCTTCAAATCGCATCAGATTTTCCATTCGCAGAAACCCTCCATCTCTCCTTTCCTCAGCAAAATTACCTTGAATGCTCGGCTTATCGTTTTCTGTCTCCCTGGGCTGGCTGGGCCATCACACATAGCTGGAGACATTTTGCAAAGGCGCAAATTCATATCACTAAAAATCTTCTGATTTTGCAGCGAACTGAACCTGGGCTGATCTCATGTGGTGTCTCTGTTCATTCTGAAGCTCCAGTGTCAATGGCTTCAATGTACACACCTCAAATTTGCACAAGGCCCTCAGTGCACTTGCATGATTTACTTACACGTGTTGTTTATATCATTTGTTTCTGAAAGTTTTATAAACAACTTTTAGCCTGGTGCTGTTTCCGGGACTGCTTTTCTTTTGCACTTTAAAACTTCTTCTTTTTTGGCAGCAGATGAAACTTACTTCCAAGTAAATGGGCTTAGGGGCCATATCTGGTGTACTTTCTCCTGCAAAAGTTCTTTCAAATGAGTGGGAAAGTCAGAAAAACTCAAGAGAGTTCCTTCATGGCTTCATTTCCAAAGAGCTTCAGGAAAACTTATTTGGAGTTGCAATCATGAATCAAAAACAACTCCTGTAAATCAGGATTGGATTGGATTGGATCCAGACTTTGCTGTGCTTAGAGTAGGCCTATTGCACATCCTCCAAGTGTCCCTATTTTCTTTCTTTCTTTCTTTTTTGGGCTTCCCCAGGTCCCACCTATCTGATTTTCATTTTACTTCATCTTTAGCAATTTACATATATCATAGTTTCTAACCATCTTTTTTTTTATCACACTTAAAATAACTTCACATTTTATCACTTACAAATAATACTATTTTAAAATACACTATCTTCTAACCCTACAGCCTAAATCCACTTCCAAAGCTTTTCTAAGATTTAAATATTACTGTATTTTTTCAAATATTCTTTAAACTTCTTCCACTGTCTCTTCTCTCTGGTCTCGGAGTCTCCCGGTCAGTTCGGCAAGTTCCATATAGTCCATCCTCTTCATCTGCCATTCTTCGATAGTTGGTAAATCTTGTTTCTTCCAATCCTTTGCTAGCAATATTCTCACAGCTGTTTTTTTTCCTCCCTCCCGGGAGGGTTGAAAGTGACCAGGGCAGGGGGCGCTGCATGAACCCTCCCTGCAGCCCCCCTCTCAGCTGTAGGGTGGCTGAGGCGGTGGGCAGACACAAGCCCTCGAAAAAGCAGCGCAGAACTTGCAGGCAGTTCGCTCACCGCCTCCCCCTTACGATACTATAGTAAAGGTAAAGGGTAAAGGGACCCCTGACCATTAGGTCCAGTCGTGGCTGACTCTGGGGTTGCGGCGCTCATCTCACTTTATTGGCCGAGGGAGCCGGTGTACAGCTTCTGGGTCATGTGGCCAGCATGACTAAGCCGCTTCTGGCGAACCAGAGCAGCGCATGGAAACACCATTTCCCTTCCCTTATCTACTTGCACTTTGACGTGCTTTCGAACAGCTAGGTTGGCAGGAGCAGGGACCGAGCAACGGGAGCTCACCCCGTCGCGGGGATTCGAACCGCCGACCTTCTGATCGGCAAGTCCTAGGCTCCGTGGTTTAACCCACAGTGCCACCCGCGTCCCATGTGCAGAATGTAGGCACCCTATATATAGAAATGAGCAAACCAGTGATATTTTAGGGAGCAGACTAGCAGGCGGGGCCCATGACTTACATCATAGGCGCCTACACAACACACAAACACTGTTGCTGTAGGTAGGTTTTATTTTATTTGCTTTTTATCTTATAATTTGGAAATGTACATCCAGGTTTTTTCCCCTTTAATTTTTGGGGGGGCTATAGCTTGTTTAGCTTATATGTAAATCTGGCACTGACGATGCCAATGTGTGCGGGAGATCAAACATGGGAGAAGCTTCTGGATGTAGAATACGATGTTCCTATTTTCATTGGAGAAATGTTTTTTGGGGGAGATGCTATTGAAACCTAAATGGATCTTAAGAGCCGCTTCTGAGGCCCCAGTTAGCTGCCTGCATACAAAGGCAACTAGAGCAAGGAGCCCACAGAACGGGACCTTTTTGCTGGTGGCCCCACTGATCTGTTATTTGATTCTGCTTGAAGTTTGGCAGGTTCCATCTTTCTATCGGCCTTAAAATCCTTTCTTGTAATGGCTAGTCTGCGATGGTGCCTGGGTATTTTGGTATGGACATGTCACTCCATGCTGGTTTTAGAAATATTTAGGACTGTTTTGAAATGCCTGTTTTTAGCTTGCTTTTAAAAATTGTATTATGGTGTTTTTTGTGTGTATATATTTGTAAACCACTTTGGGGAACATTTTATTTGAAAAATGGTCTACGCACACATGTATGTATATGTGTGTGTGAATAATAATAATAATAATAATAATAATAGGAGTTAACAGGCCTACTATTTTCAAATATTTATTTAATGGCATCAACAAAGTGCTTTACATAAAACATCTCAAGGTCATTTCACAATAAGATTATAACCTGTAAAACGATTACACAGCTTCTTACCTAAAAACAATTATAGCAATTTAAAAACAGAAACTTTTCATTGGTTAACACAATTTAAAAATAATTTCATACATAAAAACAATTAAAAAAACCAAGTTCATATGTATAAGCAGTTCCAAATCCAATACAGAATGCAATTTGAGATGAAGAGCTCCACTTAAAAGGATTTTGGGGAGGCTAGCCATCTTCTAAGCATGGCAAAATCAGGATCCAACCCTTTATCATTAATTAGTTGTGGCTACCTTTCCCCCAAAGAACATATGATATCCCTTGAATGTTGCGTTAGAGTGACGATCTGAATCCGTATCTCCCTACTTAAAGGGCAGCACTTTAACCATTAAATCCCACTGGCACTACAAGATACACTGCCACTGCATACACACAGAGAGATAAATATGTGGGGCATTTTCAGAATTCACACATGCCCCAAACAGAATCGAAAGGCGTTCTGCTTTCTAGTGTCTCCTATGAAAATGGCTCTTTCCCACAATCAGTCCATCAGTTAATCAATGTTTTTATTGTACAGCATCACACAATTGTTTTCTTTTAAGAATAATAGATCTGTCAGCTCGGTCCAGGGCCTTTGCAATTCAGCATCTCAAAACGAGGACAAATGCCAGTAGCATACAACCCACCAACATATTCCTCAACTTTTGCTGCTGACAAAATTCCCTTTTATCTGAGAACAGAGAAATCCTGGCACAGCCAAAAGGCCATATCAGCGAGGAATGAACCCCAAGAGGCTAAAGAATGCAGATAGAGATCAATATATTCATCACAGCCTGATCAGCAACTAGGCCCAAAACTCCCACCAAACATGATGTTATTCTTATTATTATGAATAATAATGACAATAGTAAACTAATCATTTTTATATCTGCCAAATTTTACCTCGGAATCCATTCTTCTGAAGTCAAAATGAACTAAACCATTTTAGAAACCTGCCCAATCTTAAATATAGGAGGTAAAATTTAACTCACAAGGTAGACGTTTAAACATTTTTCTTCTTCTCCAAAATCTGACTCACCACGGAATCTGCTTGAAGTACTGTCAAGTTGACTGGCCTGTTTTTCAAAGAGCGTTTTAGTTTTCGTTATCCTTGGCTCAACCAGAATTCCTGCAAAAAGCTTCTCGTCTGTTCATAATTTTGTGGATCTGCCAAAAGGAGGAAGAAATTGATATAGGTTGCTCCTGTAGATCATTTCCTTCCCAAGCCTTCCACAGTTTAAATGAATAATTTGCCTATGGTTATAATGAAAAGGGATGCGGGTGGCACTGTGGGTTAAACCACAGAGCCTAGGACTTCCTGATCAGAAGGTTGGCGGTTCGAATCCCCACGACAGGGTGAGCTCCCGTTGCTCGGTCCCTGCTCCTGCCCACCTAGCAGTTCGAAAGCACGTCAAAGTGCAAGTAGATAAATAGGTACCGCTCCAGCGGGAAGGTAAACAGTGTTTCCGTGCACTGCTCTGGTTCACCAGAAGCGGCTTAGTCATGCTGGCCACATGACCACATGCTGGCCACATGAGCTGTACGCCGGCTCCCTCGGCCAGTAAAGCGAGATGAGCGCCGCAACCCCAGAATCAGCCACGACTGGACCTAATGGTCAGGGGTCCCTTTACCCTTTACCTTTACCTTTATAATGAAAAAGGTGTCCGTTTTCAGGCCTGACATGTTTCCAAGGAAGGATAAGAATAATCTTAGGAGCTAAACTTGAACCTCTCCAGCAGTTTGGTTGTTTCCTGCGTCCAGAAATGGCAGCCCCTTTTCCCAACCTCGTGCTCACCAGGCGTTTTGGACTACAACTCCCATCAGGCTACCTGGCACCCGGGTGGAAAAGGCTGGACTACGGAGCCTTTTGGGAAGAAACACTGGTTTCAAAAACTCACCAAACTCCACAGGGTCAAGTTCCCTCCACTCTGTTTCCCATCACTCTGGAAGTAAAACCATTTTTACATTTCCAGTGTCTGTTTAGGCACATACAAGATGAGCTTATAAATTGATGGATTTGGTCGATGGTGGGGTCAAGCACCTTTAGCCGCAAAATTCACAGCGCAGATCACAAACATAGGCATAAAGATACAATAAATGGAGTCTTCTCAGATGTTTCCTGGGGCTCCTAAAACCATTGCACTCCCTTGGGTGTGTACTTTGCTGCTGGTGTGCATCAGTGTTCCCGACTACCTCCCCTCAATTATTCAATTTATTTCATAACATTTGCACCCCGCTTGCTTGCAAGAAGAAACCTCAAAGCTGTTTGCAAGAAGAATAAAACAAAAAATAAATAAATCCATAAAACAGCAGTTAAAAACATTTTTTAAAAATCAACAATGAGCTAAAAGAAAACAGATTAAAACATGCCAGCATATCTGGGTATGCTTGTCTAAACAAAAACAAAATGTTCTTAGCAGGGGCCAAAATGAGGGAGGGCGCCTGCCTTAATGTCAATTGGCAGGGAGTTCCAAAGTGTGTGTGCCACTGCACGAAAACATTTCATATAAATGAATATTACGTGTGGCGCCTACTGCAGCAGCACAGATTGAAGAGTTGGGCATGCAGGTGGCGAGGCGATTTCACAGGTGATAGTGTTTCCAGGCCACATTGTGATCTTGCACGCAGGTGTTTGATTCCCTGTGCAATGCAAAAAAAAAAAAAGTTGAGATGCAAGTTTTCTGATATACAAAAACAGCAGGTTAAATGTCTGGATAAAATGTGTGTGTGTTACCCGGAGTCCCTGAGATTCGTTGCGAGCCAAGCAAACCAATTTCCTTTCCTTTCCTTTTCTTTTTTGAGATATGAGTTTTCAGGAATTGGCAGGGGTTTTTTTATTTTTATTTTTAAGTGTGTCATGTCCAGCTCAACCAACAGCCTTCTTGTGAAGCAGGAGGTGAGTTTAAGGTCAAGGCAGAGGTGAATGAACAACTGGAAGCTACCTGATGGTCCCTAGGGGAGGAAGGAAGTGGGAGCTCTGCTTGGTGTACACCCACCCACTGCAACGTCACCACTACAAGGAAGGCACTTCTTCACACAGCACAGAGTTAAACTATGGAACTCACTGCCACAAGAGGCAATGACCAAGCTAGATGGCTTTAAAACAGGATTAGACAAATGCATGGAGGAGAGGGATATCGATCTCTCCTAGGCTCCTTCTCCATGGCCAGCGGCAGCCATGCTTCTGAATATCAGTTGCCGGAAACTACAGGAGGGGAGAGGTTTGCTCTTGTGCTCGGATCCTGCTCACTGGCTTCCCATTAGGGCATCTTGCCGGCCACTGTAAGGACAGAATGCAGAACCAGGTGGGGCCATTGGTGTGATGGCCTGGGACTCGGGCTTGGAGCCGGAGAAGTCTCAATCCACGCCAGATCCTTTGCCTCAGGCAGCATCTGAACCTAGTCTGGGGCCTCATTCTGAAGAGCCCCAGTCTGGACAGGTTCCCCTGCAACAAACCCCAGTCAGGGGCCTGAGCCTGCCCTGGCTCCAGATGCGGGGATGACCTCATTGCCTCCAGCTGGGCCATCACTTACAGCTGCTCCACTACCGGTTGGGTCAGGAGAGGCTGAGGCTGCCTCTGGGTCTAGTAACCCACCGACGTCTCCTGAGCTGCAGAGACTAAGGTCTGAGAGAAGGAGAGACCAGAGTACCTGCAGGAGGAGTGCTCGCCTTCGAGCGAATCAGGGAGGTGAGTTGCCGAGGGATCAGGACCGGCCGTTACCCCGACAAAGATAAAAGGCTGTTGGACCCCACCCCAGGTTGTGGGAGCAAGATTGCTGTATGCCAGATCCTGCCTGAGATCCTGTACCTGTCCTTGCCTGGTTTCCTGCCTTGGCCCTGTCAGACTGACTCCCAGCGGAACCTTTGGAGACTGGACCTGGACTGTGTTACTCAGGTTACCCCCGGGCCCAGCAGAATTGGGCCTCATCAATAGGAGTATAGCATCTAGATCAAGGGAAGTAATAGTGCCACTGTATTCTGCTCTGGTCAGACCTCACCTGGAGTACTGTGTCCAGTTCTGGGCACCACAGTTCAAGAAGGACACTGACAAACTGGAACATGTCCAGAGGAGGGCAACCAAAATGGTCAAAGGCCTGGAAACGATGCCTTATGAGGAACGGCTAAGGGAGCTGGGCATGTTTAGCCTGGAGAAGAGGAGGTTAAGGGGTGATATGATAGCCATGTTCAAATATATCAAAGGATGTCACCTAGAGGAGGGAGAAAGGTTGTTTTCTGCTGCTCCAGAGAAGCGGACACGGAGCAATGGATCCAAACTACAAGGAAGAAGATTCCACCTAAACATTAGGAAGAACTTCCTGACAGTAAGAGCTGTTTGACAGTGGAATTTGCTGCCAAGGAGTGTGGTGGAGTCTCCTTCTTTGGAGGTATTTAAGCAGAGGCTTGACAACCATATGTCAGGAGTGCTCTGATGGTGTTTCCTGCTTGGCAGGGGGTTGGACTCAATGGCCCTTGTGGTCTCTTCCAACTCTATGATTCTATGATTCTAGATTGATTCTAGATCCCTCCACCCATAAGAGTAGGGGTGGTTACTTGAAACACCCTTAAGTTGTCCGTACTCTTGCACATGTCCCAGGTAAATGAAGAAGGAAGCGGCAATCACAATTTCGATCTATGTCCAACCACAATGTTGTCAGGTCCCATTGCTGGGGCCACCAGCATCCGTTTTCAAATGCAGTCACTGCAGAGCAATCACTGGTGGCTGGCAATATTTTGGCTTCTGTCAGGGATTCTTTAGTTGTGATCGCAGAATTGCAGGGGTTGAACTAGATGGCCTTTGGGGTCCCTTCAAACTCTACACTTCTATGATTGTATCTATGACGTAATTCTTGGAATCCATCAATTCGCACCCGTTGCCCAAAACCTAAACACAGAAAAACTTGTAACAAGTGAAGAAAACTTGCTTCCAGTTGCATTGCAGTTTCCACCCCCCACAAATCAATTTAATTATTCATTATCTGAATCCCTTTCCCCTAAATTAAATGAATCCAATAAACTATTCTTCTTGTTGTTGTTCCTCTGAGCCACAGCACATCAGAACATTTCTGCTTAGAGACACATGGGGACACCTCTTTGCTCTGCTTTTGGATTAGGATTGGTGAGTCGTGCTGAGGGCTGAGGAGATTGACAGAAACGCCTTTATAGATTCAAAGACATGTGCAATGGGGGGGGCAGGAAAAAAAGTGTGCGGCTTTGAAGGAGGAAATGTTTAAAAATGGCTTGGCCTTTTGCAATGTGGGATAGCTGCGTTCCAGTAACCGAACTGGATCAGCTTGCAACATGAACCTGCAATGATATTGTATTTTTGGAATGAAAGCAGGTTCTCAAGAAAATCATTTTTTGTAATAGATCTACACCAGTTGCTCCCATAGTAGGAGGGACGGCCCCTGGGGGCAATTCGGTAGTGGGGTAAGGTAAAGGTAAAGGGACCCCTGACCATCAGGTCCAGTTGTGGCCGACTCTGGGGTTGCGGCGCTCATCTCGCTTTACTGGCCGAGGGAGCCGGCGTACAGTTTCCGGGTCATGTGGCAAGCATGATTAAGCCGCTTCTGGCGAACCAGAGCAGCGCACGGAAATGCCGTTTATCTTCCTGCCAGAGCGGTACCTATTTATCTACTCGCACTTTGACGTGCTTTCGAACTGCTAGGTGGGCAGGAGCTGGGACCGAACAACGGGAGCTCACCCTGTCGCGGGGATTCGAACCGCCGACCTGAGAGCCAGTGTGGTGTAATAATAATAATAGTAATAATAATAATAATTTTTATTTATACCCCACCCTCCCCAGCCAAGGCTGGGCTCAGGGCGGCTAACAAGCAATAATAAAAATAAGTTGAATGAATACAACTTAAAAACAAAATTAAAATACAACATTAAAAGAGTTCTAGACTCGTAATCTGGTGAACCGGGTTCGCTTCCCTGCTCCTCCATATGCAGCTGCTGGGTGACCTTGGGCCAGTCACACTTCTCTGAAGTCTCTCAGCCCCACTCACCTCACAGAGTGTTTGTTGTGGGGGAGGAAGGGAAAGGAGAATGTTAGCCGCTTTGAGACTCCTTCGGATAGCGATAAAGCGGGATATCAAATCCAAACTCCTCTTCTTCTTCTTCTTCTTCTTCTTCTTCTTCTTCTTCTTCTTCTTCTTCTTCTGATCGGCAAGCCCTAGGCTCTGTGGTTTAACCCACAGTGCCACCCGCGTTCCCTGTAGTGGGGTGCTAAGAGGCAAAGGGGCAGCCGAGGGGTTGTGGAGGTGTAAATGACTACCAGACTTTGAAAAGCTGGTATGGTAGGTGCCAAACTCCCTGCGGTGCCAAAGCACCCACAAAATCCCCCACAATGGGGCTGGGCACCCACAAATTTCAGTGCCAGGGCCTTCACACTGCATGGCACCCACAGCTTTGGGCACCCATGGTCGTGGGGCCAAGTTGGCACTCCTAGCTGGTATCACAGCTTCAAGTTCAGCAATTTTGTTGAATCAATCAAACTAAATAGTTTTAACCGGATTTTGAATAGACAGTTAGCGTGCAATTAATTGTGACTGCTTTGGATTTTATTGTGTTATTATCTTCCTTAGTGAGTCAAGGAAACTTCTGTTATGAATGATACTTTTTATAGGGTAGAGTGGGGGACATGGGCGTAGACAGGATTCATTTTAGCGGGGGTTAGACTTTATGCTGGATGCTGGGGGTGGGGGTGGGGGTGGGAACAGAACCAAGTTATCCATGATGCAATTGGTTGGTTAATTAAGTATTTTTATTCATTTATTAGATGGGGAGGGAGCTTCCCCCCGGCGCCACCAGGTGGGGGGTGACTTTTGGGAACCAAGGGGATTTTGACGAAGGAGGCGAGTAACTAAACAAACTTTAGAATAAATCTGAAGGCAGCCCTGTATAAGCAGGTTTTTAAATTTTTAATGTTTTTATATATGTTAGAAGCCGCCCAGAGTGGTTGGGACAACCCAGTCAGCTGGGCGGGATATAAAAACATTATTATTATTATGGAATAGGACGTCCCTATTTTCATCAGAGAACAGGGTACGGTATAGTATCAGTTTTATTATTATTTGCAGAATATGGATAGATATCTTTTCAAAATGAGAGCAAGAGCATCAAGTCATACTGAGGACAATTCTAGCTGTGTTTTCCAGCGTTATTTCTTATCGATGAAAAATTTGGCGTGGTGCAAGCCAATTTTGTGTGGTGCAGGCGGAAAAGTTTGAGAACCACTGCCCTAGAATTATGTACAGTGGTACCTTGGCTCTTAATCCGTTCCAAAACCAAAGCATTCCAAAACCAACATGGAAAGTAATACAAAACAGATTGATCCATAAAATGACAGCAATAATCGATGTACTGTACTATAAAATAAGACAGTATTGTAAATAAATAAATAAATTTTTCTTACTTGCACTGATGATAGGGCCTGCAAGACAAAGCTGTTCCGCCTGGCCTTTGGTTTGGACTCAGTCTGACCCTTATGTTTTCCCTCCCCTTACGGTTTTGATCTATCGGCTACTTTTAAAATGAGGCTGCATTTTAAACTGCATTTTAACCTGTATTCTAAATTGGTTTTCCCCTCCCTATTATGTTTTTATTGTAATTTTACTGGTGTTTGCCACCCTGAGCCCAGCTCTGGCAGGGGAAGGTGGGGTATAAATAAACTTTATTATTCTTATTCTTAGAACATTAGAAGCCAAAGGCCTGGTTTGAAAAGGAAGGTTTTCGCCTGACGTACGCAATTTTGTTTTGTTTTAGCCGCTTGCTTTTCAAATTTTATTGACCCTTCTCTTTTTAGATTGTTGCATTTAATGTTCCTTCCATGCTGTATGGAAAGACAGGGGACAGAAGTCTTAAACAGACACCGGGAACAAGCGTGTCTTCCTCAGGCCAGAGATGCTCCTTTGAAGAAAGGGCCCTTTTGTGCAAAGGATTTTGCATGAATAGCGGACTGGCAGGTGATGGTTTGACAGGCTACTTTCTGCCACGGCCCTGGTCTATAATTATCCAAAAGTGAAAGGGTTCAATATTCCTCCTCCTTTTTAAAAACAACAATAACAACCCAGTAACAATCTGTTATACATAAGATTGAGACCCTATTAAAAGGGATGGGCATATTTCCACAAAATAACAGTGCCAAAATCTGCAGGCATCGCAGCAGAAACTAGAACGGGGTTGAGGAAAATAATATATTTCCCCCCCTAATTTTTTTTTATCAATTTTCCACATTATTAGACAAATAAACAAACACAAATCATAACTGAACTTAATCCATTGTTAATATCATAATTAAATGACTTCCTCAAATTCCCTTGACTGAATTTCATTATATATCATTGTAACAGTTTTCCAAAATAGTATTTCACAAGATTTACTTAATCCTCTTAACATCTTTATCTCTTTTCATCTTGACTTTAAACATATTGTTTTTTAATTTCACATATTTAGATCCTTGGCCTATCTGTTATTTGCAAGTATTTCTATTTAATTTATCTTAGCATATTTGGATAAATAGTCTTTGAATTTCATCCATTCCTCCTGGTACTCCTCCTCCTTCTGGTCGTGGATTCTTCCAGTCAGGTCGGCTAGCTCCCAAAAGTCCATCATCTTCATCTGCCATTCCTCCACTGTTGGTACTTCTTGTGTTTTCCAATTCTTGGCTAATAAAATTCGAGCTGCTGTTGTGGCATACAAAAACAATCTAACATCTTTCGGGGGCAATTCCAACCCTATTATTCCAAGAAGAAAGGCCTCTGGTTTCTTTGCAAATGTATATTTCAACATTTTTTTCGAGGAAAATAATATCTTATTCTGATGGGGAATATGATGTGGTAGATTTCAGTCTAGGACGTGTGTTTTTTATGCTTCATTCGTTTTGCGTTTTACAATATGTATTGATCTATTGATTATCTATCCCAGCTTCTTCTCCAAGGACCTCCTCATTTAAAACCCACAACAACCATGTGAGGTAGGTTAGGCTGAGATAATAATATAATAATAATAATAATTTATTATTTATACCCCACCCATCTGGCTGGGCTTCCCCAGCCAGTCTGGGAGGGAGCAGCTGGCCAATGGTCACACAAAGTCAACTTCATGGCTGAATGGGGTTTTGAACCCAGGTCTTGCAGGTCCTAGTCTGACACTCTAACCCCTGTGTGGCCACGCTGACTCTTTATATACCCTCAATTTTTAGAATATATGCACTGCAGCGCTTAATCTTTTAAAAGAAATCTAAGCCATTTTGATAGAATGGTATAAAAATTCATGAAATGGATTTTAGGGTCTGTTTTAACCTCCTTCTTCTTTTGCACAAGACGTTTTATTTTATTTATTCCAAACTTCGTTGAAATTGCTTTAAAGGAACAATTGCTAAGCGTAAGGTTTTGTCTTCCAGGACAAATGCATATACAGATGTTAAGGCTTGCAGGCAGTCCTCTCCGTATGGCATCGAAACAGACTTGGAGAATTTTTTTACGTTACAGATTAAGCTCCCATCTGCAAGGTATAATATCCTTCAGATTGAGAGCGTTGAGATAATTTCTCCATTATGGCTGCTGCGATTGAGTTGGAAGGGAGATTACGGCACCATTGTTAATAAACGATATAAATTGAGGCCATCGTCTTGAAACTCAAGATTTTAAAGCGGCTGCGTCCCCTTTTGGTTTGTGCTTTCACTGGTTTGACAAGCTGACCCAAAAAAGGGGGGGAGGCAGGAGTCTAGAAAGGTTTTAAACTGTTAAGTCAGTATAATAAGTTATCAGCCCTTCCAAAGATGGGGCTGAGCTCAGTGACTTGTGAACCCCCTCCTTTAATAAATAATAATACATTTTATTTATACCCCGCCCTCCCTGGCCAGAGCAGGGCTCAGGGCGGCTAACACCAGTAAAAACATACCAGTAATGGGGGGGGGGACCAATTTAAAATACAGGTTAAAATGCAATTTAAAATGCAGCCTCATTTTAAAAGTAGCCCATAGATCAAAACCATAAGGGGAGGGAAACATAAGGGTCAGACTGAGTCCAAACCAAAGGCCAGGCGGAACAGCTCTGTCTTGCAGGCCCTGCGGAAAGATGTCAAGTCCCGCAGGGCCCTAGTCTCTTGTGACAGAGCGTTCCACCAAGTCGGGGCCAGTGCTGAAAAGGCCCTGGCCGTAGTTGAGACCAATCTAACCACCTTGCGACCTGGGACCTCCAAAATGTTGTCATTTGCGGACCTTAAGGTCCTCCGCGGGGCATACCAGGAGAGGCGGCCCCGTAGGTATGTGGGTCCTATCCACAAAGGTAGTCCAAGGAGAGGGGCCGAGGTGATTTCTGAGGATTTGTTCCTCCAAGCGCTTTTTAGAAAGACCAGCCCAGCTTGAAAACAGGCTCCTGAACTTTGGGGGAGCCATCGGCTCCTCGGTTCCAGAAACTCGTTCCCAATGCCTACGAAAAGCATTTATTCAGGGGTTGGACTAGATGACCTTTGGGTTCCAACTCTACAATTCCTTGATTCTGAGAGTGGTTTTCATGACCCACTTAAGGAAGGTCATGAAATCGTAGAGTTGGAAGGGACCATTCTATTCTAACCTCCTGCAATGCAGGATAACACAATAAAATTCAAAAGAGTAAAACTTTATTTTCGCAGTCATTCAGACTCTTTAATTCAACAAAATGGATGTACTTTATCCAGCAATAACAGCTTTTAAAAGTCTGATAGTCATTTACGCCTCCCTACGGCCCCAGTGGACACGGGTGGCGCTGTGGGTTAAACCACAGAGCCTAGGACTTGCCGATCAGAAGGTCGGCAGTTCGAATCCCCACAATGACGGGGTGAGCTCCCATTGCTTGGTCCCTGCTCCTGCCCACCTAGCAGTTCGAAAGCACGTCAAAGTGCAAGTAGATAAATAGGTACCGCTCCGGCGGGAAGGTAAGCGGCGTTTCCGTGTGCTGCTCTGGTTCGCCAGAAGCGGCTTAGTCATGCTGGCCACATGACCCGGAAGCTGTACGCCGGCTCCCTCGGCCAATAAAGCGAGATGAGTGCCACAACCCCAGAGTCGGCCACAACTGGACCTAATGGTCAGGGGTCCCTTTACCTTTACTGTCCCAGTACACATAATTATATGTGTGCATCCCTCCCAGGTAATCCCATTGTCCCCCAGGGAGTGGCACTTCCCACTTTGGGAACCACAATGTAAAGGAAAGGAAGGGGTCTGGAACAAGAGGCAGTTATGTTCCCAAGTGCAAGTTGGACTGGCAATCTTTAAATCTGTGCTTTAAATATTAATTTGTTCGTTAAACGTCTATCCCCTGCTTCCTCCCAGAGGAGCCCACAGTGGCAAATACAAAAGTGATAAAAATAAATAAAATAAAAAGGTATTTAAAACACTTAAGAACAGTGGCAGCTGTGTCCCATTTTCTCTCTCCATGGAGCTCAATCATCTACAGCGTAGGAATACCTGCTGAAGTTGAGAAGTGTAGTTTGTGAAGTATGAATGGGGGTGGAGATAACGGAAGGAAAGTTTTCTTACAATGCTATGCTAATACTACGATACGATACGATACAATAATCATTATTGTCATTGTCCCATTCAGAACAACGAAATTGAAAAAATCTACATCAGACATTCAGAAACTAACAAGCCTTCTATCCCAGCTATCCCAACCTGGTTAGCCCCCTAAAAACTCTGATACCCCATAATTAAATACAATATACTCCCAGAGAGACTACATTACACTGCGTTTAAAACCAAAATCGCATTTGGGTAGAAACTGTTTCTCAGGCGGCTAGTCCTAGTCTTTATAACCTTCTTCCAGAAGGCAGAAGCTGAAAGAGATCATTTCCGGGGTGCGCACTATCCTGCGCTATCTCTGCAGCTTTCTTATGACACCTGGAAGCGTAGATTTGATCCAAGGTGGGAAGAGGGCACCCAATTATTCTCTCCGCAGTCTTTACAACCTCGGACAGCATTGGTTTTTCCCTGACCGTGCAGTTCCCAAACCACACACACAGACCATAAGTTAATATACTAAGAAGCATTGAACTGTGGAGTGGAAAGGGATCCCCAAGGGTCATCTAGTCCAACCCCCTACAATGCAGGAACCTCAGCTAGAGCATCCATAGCAGGTAATCTATTAACATAAGGAGGCAGGATGGCTGTGAGGTTCAAATGGGCAATGGGAAGTTATTCTTCACACAATGGATATTTGACCTATGAAACTCACTGCCACAAGAGGCGGCAAGGGGCGCTGAGTTAGGTGGCTTTTTGATAGGGTAGGACAAATCCATGGTAAATAGGTCTGTTAATAGTTAACAATCTGAATCCACAGTTGGAGGCAGCAGTTGCTGGAAGTCACAAGGGCACCTGGTTGGCCGCAGTGAGAACAGAATGCTGGACTGGATGGGCCCTTGGACTGATCCAGCAGGCTCTTCTTACTGTTGAAACCATTCCCTCGTCCACGAAAAGCAGGCAGCCTCATAGTATAATCAGCTGGTCAGTGTTGACTTCAAGCTTCTCTAGGGTTATCCAGGCTTAGTTATTCCGATCAGAAACACCGGAATGTAGCTGATCCAAGCGGGGCTTGAAGTCCCCGTCCATCAGCTGACCGAGGGTGGCTTCAAGCACTGCTTGGATGAGCTTGGATCTCCCTGTGCAGCGTGACTTGAACTCAGGCCCAAAATAAAAACCACTAGAATGCCTCTATTACACAAATCCAGTTGAAAAAACACGTAAATGTAATAGGCTGTATAACGACAACTGTAAAGTTATTTACTAGAAACTACTTCTCAAAATTAGATACAGCTTCTCATAATGGTCAAAATCAACATCGTGACATATCATATTAAAATGTAGCTTATTCAGTCCAGCATGTACAAAATGCAATTCCTATTTTGTCAGTCCCATAGTACATTCATATTCTAATTTCTTCATCTTCTCTTGTCTTTTTCTATCTGACGTATTCCTTAGAAGAGTACAACATTAAATCATTTGAACACTGGCACTGGTAGATGCTGGCACAGGCAGACAGGACAAGGATTCCTGGATGTTCCCCTGTTTTGCCCCAGGGGCTTTATCAACTGTGCGTGGTTCGTTACAACTGTTGTTGTTGTTGTTTAGTCATTTAGTCGTGTCCGCCGCTTCGTGACCCCCTGGACCAGAGCACGCCAGGCACTCCTGTCTTCCTCTGCCTCCCGCAGTTTGGTCAAACTCATGTTGGTAGCCTCGAGAACACTGTCCCACCATCTCGTCCTCTGTCATCCGCTTCTCCTTGTTCCCTCCATCTTTCCCAACATCAGGGTCTTTTCCAGGGAGTCTTCTCTTCTCAGGAGGTGGCCAGAGTCTTGGAGCCTCAGCTTCAGGATCTGTCCTTCCAGTGAGCACTCAGGGCTGATTTCCTTCAGAATGGAGACGTTTGATCTTCTTGCAGTCCATGGGACTCTCAAGAGTCTCCTCCAGCACCAGAATTCAAAAGCATCAATTCTTCAGTGATCAGCCTTCTTGATGGTCCAGCTCTCACTTCCATGGAACTTATTCGTGATAAGGCCACCACCATGCATTATGGGAACATCAGAGGATTGACAAGTGGCCTGTTGTGTGTGTGTGTGTGTGTGTGTGTGAGAGAGAGAGAGAGAGAGAGAGATGAGTTTGAACTCCGGCAGCCCAATTCACCCCTTGCCACCCTAGTTTTCTGTTTTGCTTTTCCACCAGGCACCTTCTGCCTTTGTTGTTTGACTTGCAGTGTGTGATTTCAGCCGGCAGATGTCCCTTTGCCTTGATGTGTCTGTTCACATCCTTGCCTTGGATGTAGTGAAATTGTTGTTTATCAGGGACTGATGTCTTCACCCTATGCAAAACTGTTCACACCTTGGCTAGAGAGGAAACAGGAACAGCTTAAGGGAGAGCTTTCCAAACTGTGTGTCATGAGGACTTGAATGCTCCCCACACGCCTCCCAGGGCTGGAAAATGGTTAATTTAACCTCCAGTTTGCTAGTAAAACTGTATTACTGTATCTAAAAAAGTGTGTCACCAACATGAAAAGTTTGGAAAGCTTAAGGGCTCCCACTGGTGTGAAGCTGGCTGAAGCTACAGCACATCAAAAGGCAGCATCTTACAACAAAATACAGGATATATTTGCATTTTGGATAAGGGTTGTGTGAACACAGATGGAAAACCCACCTTTGGGAATGCATAAGGAGTGTGAACAGAGCCTTAGAGGAGTGCCTAAGCTCTCATTCATGCCACACATTTAAAGTGCTAGGATACTGCCAAAGATCTCTGGGAGCTGTAGTTTGCTAAGGGTGCTGAGAGGTGTCAAAAAGCCCCTCTTCCTCCTCTCACAGAACTACAATTCCCAGAGTTCCCTGGGAAGAGGCATTGATTGCTAAACCACTCAGGGCGTTTGTGGACAGGCATTCTCAATCTCCTTCAAGCCACCACAATTGGGACGTATTCCGAGATGGCAGCAAAGCAATGTCTCTCTCTCCCGCTCATGCAATATGAACCGAACTCAATTTCCATAGAAGTAGAATCTGCACCCCTCTCTTGCAGGAAAAGCAACCAAGAGTCCTGCGGTGCCTTAAAGGCAAAGAAACATTTATCATCACATTAGTCAAGCCAAGCGATTTATTACGGTCACAGACCAGTAATTACCCCGGCATAAGATTTCATAGACCGCCGTCCACTGTATTAAATGCATGAAGCGTTCTCCTCGGTTGCAAGTCTACCACTCTCCATGGGAACGGAGGAAGAATTGTAGACAGTGAGATATCAGAGGGAAATGAGTTGCAGGAAAGTTCAGCCCAGGTAATTTTGTAATTAGCAGTTGTAGAATACAACAAACAGCCCTGCTGGCTGAAACACAAGATGCTGGCATGGGGAATGAAATATAGTTGAGAGTGGATTTCATGCTCTTTATTCAGCTCATAGTGGTGAGGAGGAATGGAAGTTCCCCCAGAATGTCTGCTTTATATACATTATTTACACAATGAACCCCACTTGATTGGCTAATTCTGGGATTCTCCTGTGGGCCAATCAGGTTGCGGATTCACTTCCACCTGGAGCTGGATTGGGTGGCTCCTGTGGACCAATCAGACTGCTGCATTCTGAATCCTATTGTTCTAGGACCAATCAGACAGCTGCATTCTGAATCCTATTGTTCTAGGACCAATCAGACCGCTGCATTCTGAATCCTATCGTTCTAGGACCAATCAGACAGCTGCATTCTGAATCCTATTGTTCTAGGACCAATCAGACTGCTGCATTCTGAATCCTATCGTTCTAGGACCAATCAGACCGCTGCATTCTGGATCCTATTCAACTCAGTACATAACACCCCTCCCCTCTAAGTTCCAGTCCTGCCCGGGAGGTTGCATTCATAGTCCTCAAGGTACGCCGGCCGCCTACATATGCGTTGCGGCCTGGGGTGTTCCCTGGTCAGGGGTTCGGGTTCTGGCTCGTGTTCCGAGGATGCTGGCTGTGATGGGGCCATTTGGTCTGGTGCGACCGGCTCGCTCAGTCATGGCTCTGGTTCTGGTGTCCTTTCGGCCTTGTGGGTCCTCTCTGTATTTACTGATTCTGCTCCCCTGCTGGCCGCTCCTGCTCTACGGGCCTCACTGCCCCACTGTTCCCTTGGGACTCCTCTGACCCGTCCTCCTCCTGGTTTTCTCCCGGGAATCGTCGCCGTATCTGGTCGCAGTGGCGGCGCCAGCATTCCCCCCCATCTGTTAGCACCTCGTACGACACGGGGCCAGTGACCCTGGTGACTGTGGCGGGTACCCATGCCGGGCCTGCCCCCAAATTCTTTGCGTACACTGGGTCCTGGGCCACGAAGGTCCGGGGGTTCCTGCCTTCCCCCACCACTACCTCATCCTGAGCTCTATCGGGGTGAAGGCGGTCCAGTCTGATTGCAAGGCGCCGGCCCATTAGTAGTTCAGCGGGGGCTCCTTAGCACAAGTAGTGTGATTCCTGCGTTGCAGGGGGGTGGAGTAGATGACCCCTTGGGGTCCCTTCCAACTCTACAATTCTATGGTTCTCTGATTCAAGAAGTGCATAGAAACATGCAGCAGCTCATCCCTTACAGTCTCAGCTGTGGCCAAATGCCTGTTGAAACAGACACATTGATACGATATGCCGGAAGGGGCATATTTCCAGCACGAGGGAGTTCCTTGGTGTCTGGGCTGAACGATGGGGGTGGAGACGCTCCTTCAGGTCTTCTGGACCGACGCCGTTTAGGACTTTAAAGGTCAGCACTAACACTCCGAATTGTGCTTGGAAACGTACTGGGAGCCAATGTAGGTCTTTCAAGACCGGTGTTATGTGGTCTCGGCGGCCGCTCCCAGTCACCAGTCTAGCTGCCACATTCTGGATTAGTTGTAGTTTCCGGGTCACCTTCAAAGGTAGCCCCACGTAGAGCGCATTGCAGTAGTCCAAGCGGGAGATAACTAGCGCATGCACCACTCTGGCCAGACAGTCTAAGGGCAGGGAGGGTCTCATCCTGCGTACCAGATGGAGCTGGGAGAAAGCTGCCCTGGACACAGAATTAACCTGCGCCTCCATGGACAGCTGTGAGTCCATTGAAAGTAAAACGGACAATATCATAATGCTGTCATACAAGTCTATGGTGCAACCAGGGCTTTTTTTCCAGACGGAACTTGCTTGAACTCAGTTCCGGCACTTCTCAGGTGGGCGTCATTGCCATTATAGTGGTACCTCTGGTTACGTACTTAATTCGTTCCGGAAGTCCGTTCTTAACCTGAAGCACCACTTTAGCTAATGGGGCCTCCTGCTGCTGCTGCGCTGCCAGAACACGATTTCTGTTCTCATCCTGAAGCAAAGTTCTTAACCTGAAGCACTATTTCTGGGTTAGCGGAGTCTGTAACCCGAGGTACCACTGTATAAGAGAACAAGGCAGGTGTTCGTGGTGAGTTCCTGCACCGCTTTTTCTAGAAAAACAGTGCCACCATATTTGAAATTCTGCACACACCTCTGGCTGCCCCACCTCAGAAAGGATATTGTAGAGTTCAGAAAAGTGCCCTCAAAATGATCAAGGGGATGTAGGGACCCCCCTATGGAGAAAGCTTGCCGTATTCGGGACTTTTTAGTTTGGAGAAAAGAAGAGTAAGTGGCGACACGATAGTAGTTTATAGAACGATGCATGTCAGGGAGAAAGTGGAGAGAGAAAATATTAAAAGCCACCCCACATGAAAGTTGTTCCCCCTCTCTCATAACACCAGCTCATAGGAGCAAAACTCATAGGGGGGCCCAATAAAATATTTGAGGGGGCTGCCCCCCCCAGTTTATGGGCAGTGCCATTCAAATGGTATGCATGCACTGTGTCATGTGATTGATTATGAGGGGTGGGGCTTACCTGCCCCCCCCCCAATATTTTATTTAAGTTGTCACCCCTTGGGGGCCCAACTCCTCTCTCTTGCGGGGGCCCAGTTAGTGCCATTGCCTTCCGTTAAGAGTTTGGGTATAATCCTTGTCTCCTCCCTTTCCATGGAGGTGCAGGTTGCAGCCACAGCAAAGGTGGCATTTTTCCATCTCCGCCGTATTAAGCAGTTGGTCCCTTACCTTTCTCGCCCCGACCTGGACACAGTGATCCATGCGAAGGTCACCTCCAGGCTTGATTATTGTAACTCGCTTTACGCGGGGCTGCCCTTGAAGCTGACCCAGAAACTCCAGTGGGTGCAGAATGCCGCAGTGAGGCTCCTTACGGGAGCCTTGCCGCGGGATTACATTCAGCCAGTGCTTTACCAACTGCACTGGCTTCCGGTGGAGTACAGGGTCAGGTTTAAGGTGCTGGTCTTGACCTTTAAAGCCCTATGCAGCCTAGGACCCACATACCTACGGGACCGCCTCTCCTGTTATGTCCCGTGGAGGACCTTAAGGTCCACAAATGACAACACTTTGGAGGTCCCAGGTCGCAAGGTGGTTAGACTGGTCTCCACTAGAGCCAGGGCCTTTTCAGTACTGGCCCCGACTTGGTGGAACGCTCTGCCACAAGAGACCAGGGCCCTGTGGGACTTGACATCTTTCCGCAGGGCCTGCAAGACAGAGCTGTTCCGCCTGGCCTTTGGTTTGGACTCAATCTGACCCTTATGTTTCCCTCCCCTTATGGTCTTGATCTATGGGCTACTTTTAAAATGAGGCTGCATTTTAAATTGCATTTTAAATGCAATTTATTTTAAATTGGGTCCCCCCCATCATGTTTTTACTGTGATTTTATTGGTGTTAGCCACCCTGAGCCCGGCTCTGGCCGGGGAGGGCGGGGTATAAATTTATTTATTTATTTATTTTTATTTTATTTGTTTATTCATGGACATCAAATGAAGCTGAATATTGGAAGGTTCAGGACAGATAAAAGAGGCAGAGGAAGCACAGAGTTAGACTATAGAACTCCCTCCCACAAGAGGCAGGGACATTAAAAGAGGGTTAGACAAAGTCATGGAGGAGAGGGCTGTCGATGGCGACTAGCCAGGATTCCTAGGCTCAGTCATCCACAGTTGGAGGCAGCCCTGCTTCTGAACACCAGTTACTGGAAACCACAGGAGGGGAGAAGGTGGTCTTGCGTTCGAATCCTGCTTGCTGTTTCCCCAGGGTCAGACCCTGTGAGAACAGGATGCTGAGCTAGATGGGCCGCTGGCCTGATCCAGCGTGGGCTCCTCTCCTTTTCCGATGACCTCCCCTTTGCTTTTGCCCCCAGATGCCAAAGGGACCATCCGGGAGATCGTCCTTCCCAAAGGTCTGGACCTGGACCGGCCAAAGAGGACCAGGACCTCTTTCACTGCTGAGCAGCTGTACCGGTTGGAGCTGGAGTTTCAGCGCTGCCAGTACGTGGTGGGCAGAGAGAGGACGGAACTCGCCCGGCAGCTCAACCTCTCCGAGACGCAGGTGAGGGATGGGTGCCTTTGCCGAAGAAGGCGTCGCTCTTTTCCGCCCCACACTGATTCTTCCCCTGCTCCTTTTCATTCTCTCTTCCTCCTTCATTCTCATTTTCTCTCTCTCTCTCTCTCTCTCTCTCTCTGAAATATACTCAGAGTCCTGGGGTGATTTCAAGCTCTTTATTGCAGCTTGTGAAACAGTGATTGAATTGACCCCCAAACCTCAGGCTTTTATAATAATAATAATAATTTATTATTTATACCCCGCCCATCTGGCTGAGTTTCCCCAGCCACTCTGGGCGGCTCCCAAACGAGTGTTAAAAACAATACAGCATTAAATATTAAAAACTTCCCTGAACAGGGCTGCCTTCAGATGTCTTTTAAAGATAGGATAGCTGCTTATTTCCTCCACATCTGAAGGGAGGGCATTCCACAGGGTGGGTGCCACTACCAAGAAGACCCTCTGCAAGGTTCCCTGTAACCTCTCTTCTCTCAATGAGGGAACCGCCAGAAGGCCCTCGGTGCTGGACCTCAGTGTCCGGGCAGAACGATGAGGTTGGAGAAGCTCCTTCAAATATACAAGACCGAGGCCGTTTAGGGCTTTAAAGGTCAGCACCAACACTTTGAATTGTGCTCAGAAAACGTACTGGGAGCCAATGCAGATCTCTCAGGACCAGTGTTATGTGGTCCTGGCGGCCACTCCCAGTTACCAGTCTAGCTGCTGCATTCTGGATTAACTGCAGTTTCCGGGTCACCTTCAACGGTCGCCCCACGTAGAGCGCATTGCAGTAGTCCAAGCGGGAGATAACTAGAGCATGCACCACTCAGGGGAGACAGTTCGCGGGCAGGAAGGGTCTCATCCTGCATATCAGATGGAGCTGGCAGACAGCCGCCCTGGACACAGAATTAACTTGTGCCTCCATGGACAGCTGTGAGTCCAAAATGACTCCCAAGCTGTGCACCTGGTCCTTCAGGAGCACACTAACCCCATTCAGGACCAGGGAATCCCCCAAACCCACCCACCCCCTGTTCCCCAAAAACAGTACTTCTGTCTTGTCAGGATTCAACCTCAATCTGTTAGCCACCATCCATCCTCCAACCGCCTCCAGGCACTCACACAGGACCTTCACCGCCTTCACTGGTTCTGATTTGAAAGAGAGATAGAGCCTCTCTAATATACATTATTTACACAATGAGTCCCGTCTGATTGGCTGATTCTGCTTTCCTCCTAAAGCCTGATTGGTCTTTTCCTGCAGGCCAATCAGTTGTTGCATTCTAGGATCCTGCTTGCCTATTGTTCCAGGATCCAAGCTTAGTACATAACACACACACACTCTCTCTCTCTCTCTCTCAGCTTTCATGACACAATGGGACTCTTTTGGCTTATTTTGAGCTTTAGCAAGCAACAGATGTCGCTTTGACTGCATCAGTACCCACAAGACACTCAGCATGAGTCACCCCAGGCAGGAAACTGGAGTCATGTGGCTGTGTGGTGTAATGATTAGAGAGTGCTGGACCAGGACTTGGGAGAGACCAGGGGGAGGGGAATTCTGTTCGGTCACAGAGATGTTGTATAAAAGCATCTTTTTGAGTGTCCCACGCCCCTAGCACTGGAAGCATGTCCTGAGCTCTGAGTCCTGTGGTGCCCAGAAGCAAATGAGCTTCTGGATCTTGTGAAATACTCGGAATCATAGAATTGTAGAGTTGGAAGGGAGCACCAAGGGTCATCTAGTCCAGTCCCCTGGAATGCAGGGATCACAGCTAAGCAATCCCTGATTTATGGCCACCCAACCTCTGTTTCCAAATGAAGGCGAGTCCATTACTTTCCGAGGGAGTCCATTCCACTGTCAAACAAGCCCCCCGCCCCCTAATGTTCAGACAGAATCTCTTTTCTTGTCATTTGAATCCATAATAATAATAATAATAATAATTTATTATTTATACCCCGCCCATCTGGCTGAGTTTCACCAGCCACTCTGGGCAGCTCCCAATCGAATGTTAAAAACAATACAGCATTAAATATTAAAAACTTCCCTAAAGAGGGCTGCCTTCAGATGTTTTTTAAAAATAAGATAGCTGCTTATTTCCTTGACATCTGATGGGAGGGCTTTCCACAGGGCGGGCGCCACCACCGAGAAGGCCCTCTGTTTGGTTCCCTGTAACCTCACTTCTTGCAATGAGGGAACCACCAGAAGGCCCTCAGAACTGGACCCATAGCTGTCAACTTTCAGATTTGAAAATAAGGGATCAGCAGCCTCACCTGTCCCAGAGACAGTCTACAGGATATCTAATAATCCGGGATAGCAGCGGGAAGCAGCGGGAAACGGCATTGGAATAAGGGAATTTCCCGAAAAAAAAGGGAAGCTATGGCTGGACCTCAGTATCCGGGCTGAACGATGGGGGTGGAGACGTTCCTTCAGGTATAAAGGACCAAGGCCGTTTAGGACTTTAAAGGTCAGCATCAACACTTTGAATTGTGCTCGGAAACGTATCCATTGGTTCAGGTCGTCGCCTTGGGAGCAGCAGAAAACAAGCTTGCTCCATTTCCCATGTGAGAGCCGTTCAGATATTTGAAGGTGGTTCTCATCACCCCACAGTCTTCTCTTCCCCCAGGCTAAACATCCTCAGTGCCCTTAAATGTAAGGCTTGCTCTCCATCCCCTTTATCACTTTGAGGAAGAAGCAAAAGGCCACATCTCACTGTGGCACCAAACACATTTGCAAGATGTTTTGCTGTCTGAGGACAGTCGAACACTTAGAGCAGGGGTAGGCAACCTAAGGCCCGGGGGCCGGATGTGGCCCAATTGCCTTCTCAATCCGGCCCATGGACAGTCCGGGAATCAGCATGTTTTTACATGAGTAGAATGTGTCCTTTTATTTAAAATGCACCTCTGGGTTATTTGTGGGGCATAGGAATTTGCTTATTTCCCCCCCCCAAAAAAATATAGTCCAGTCCACCGCATGTTCTGAGGGACGATGGACCGGCCCACAGCTGAAAAAGTTTGCTGACCCCTGACTTAGAGCCACCCATTCTACATAGCGTCGTGAATCCTACCGTACTTCAGTACAAGCAATGGGGCACTGGGCTGCACCCTAGGGAGACCAGCAGGTTAGAGGACAAGGTACAGCTACCTTCTCCAACAAAAGGGTCTGGTCAGAGAGCTCAGGAGGAAGAGCCACCCAGCCTATGGTGCCTGAGGCAGTTGGGTCACTCTGCCTAATGGTAGGAACTGCCCTCTGCATTTTTGCATGTAGTAAGTCCTCAGCTGCATCCCTGGCAGAACCAGGGATTTATTTTTGTTGATTGCTTATTCACACGTCAGTTTTTCCTCCAAGGAGCTCAAGGTGGCACACGTGGTTCTCTCCCTCCCAGTCTGTTTCCACCCCCATCGTTCAGCCCGGACACTGAGGTCCAGCGCCGAGGGCCTTCTGGTGGTGGCACCCGCCCTGCAAAAAGCCATGGCAGAGGGCCTTCTTGGTGGTGGCACCCACCCTCCCACCAGATGTCAAAGAGAATAACAACTACCAGACTTTTAGAAGACATCTGAAGGGAAGTTTTTAATGTATGACATTTTAATGTATTTTTAATCTTTGTTCGAAGCCGCCCAGAGTGGCTGGGGAAACCCAACCAGATGGGCGGGGTACAAATAAATTATTATTATTATTATTATTATTATTATTATTATTATCCCTCCTTATTTAACCCCCACAACCACCCTGCCAGGTAGGTTAGGCTGAGAGGCGTGACAGGCCAAAGGTCACCCTGTGAGCTTCATAGCCAAGAGGAGATTCGAACTCTGGTCTCCCAGGTGCTAGTCCATAACTCTATCCACTATCCCATGCTGACTCTTCAAAGGATGATGGAGGAGGTGGCCCTGGAGAGATGCTTCCAGGCAGAATGTGACTCTAGTCAGCTGAGCAGCCCCAAGCTGGCAGAAGTCACGTTCTTATGATGTCGGAGCAGCTTATTTTATTTATAGCTGCACAACCAAGTCTGCTCCGTTAAAAATTAATCGCAATAATAGCAATTAACAATTCATTACCATGAGCAACAGAGATGATGGAACGACACTTTGCATCTTTCACACACCCCGTGGCTTCCTACATGGCAAAACTCCCGCAATGTGGAAAGGGCTTTCATGCAGGAATTGCTCTGAAATCTGCACTCAGACCGTCACCCTGAACAAGCAGGAACTTTGCTGCTTCGTCGTGTGTGGAAAACGTGCAGCTTCTTAAAGCATCTTTATGTAGATAGAGCTGAATAGCAGGCAGGTACAGATCTACTTGCAGATTTCATGTGACTCGATCGGCGTCTGCATAGGAAAGTATGAAGAAGAGTTTGGATTTGATATCCCGCTTTATCACTACCCTAAGGAGTCTCAAAGCGGCTAACATTCTCCTTTCCCTTCCTCCCCCACAACAAACACTCTGTGATGTGAGTGAGGCTGAGAGACTTCAGAGAAGTGTGACTAGCCCAAGGTCACCAGCAGCTGCATGTGGAGGAGCGGGGAAGCGAATCCGATTCACCAGATTACGAGTCCACCTCTCTTAACCACTACACCACACTGGCAAGTTTTAGACGTTCTGATCATAAGAATATAAGCCAAGCCTTGTTGGAACATGGGACAAGAATGGCTTATGGTCCGGTAACTGGCTGAGGATCAGGAGGAAGAGAATTTGGGCATCTCCAGATTACAGGACCTCTCCCCCCCTTTTTTTTTTTGCTGCGGGAGTGGGGGAATATATTCTGCAATATGTCATGGATGCAATAATAAAAATGCAGTAGTGGTGGATTAATACTGACTCATCCACACTTCATTCCACTTTATTAGTTGCCTTGTGATGCTCCCCCAAGATTATTGCGCTATTGCCTCCTGGAAGGGGCTCTTTTGCACTGTAGCGCAACAAAAAAAGCTGGGACATTTGTGGTGGTAGAAAAGGTTATGGGTTTTCAGCAGCAAGTTAAGAGAAATGCGCTGATTGGAAACAAAGCAGTACGACGACCACTCTGAAATGTTTGCAGTCGCAAACGGTATTGAAAATGATGTTGCGTATAACCACCCTTGGGTTACAGGACCTCCAGGTTTGACTCTCTGGGTGGGTGAGAATGTATTTAATTGAAGAGGAGGAGCTGGCTGCAAATTATAGGATAGGCATTCTGGGGTCTGCCCTCCTTTGCTTCCCTCTCCCAATTAACCTCCATCTCCAGAGGTCTCCTCCCATAATATCGCCAGGCTTCAGGTTAGGGCCCTGAAATCTCAGGGTCTGGGCTGCTCCAGACCTGGCAAGCCTAAACCACCCTGATATCATGAGCACAAATAATCATGAATGCATGATAAATGGGCACCCAGAGGGACCGTAGGAATAAATGGACAGTACTCACAGCTCTGCTGGATCAGGCTAAAGGCCCACACAGTCCATCATCCTGGACCAGGGCAGATACCTATGGGAAACCCATGGGGAGCACCTGAGTGCAACCGTGGTGTAAGAAGTGGGGTCCCTCAAGGGGCCTGAACTGGAACTGGTAGTTGTTAACTTGCTCATGAATGACCCCAGAGTCAGGGGTTAGCTGTGAGGTGGCCAGGCTTGCTGATGACCCCCAAATTGTTCAAGGTGGTAAGAAGACAAAAGGGACTGCAAGGGGCTCCGAAAGGATCTCTCCCAAGTGGGTGAAAGGGCATTAAAAGGGCAAAAGTGGTTCAATTGGGAAGAAAGTGTTCCCATCAGGACAAACACCCCTAACATCTCAAATAGGCACTGATTGGGTCTGAGCTGGCAGTGACTGACCAGGAAAGGAACCTTGGGGTCTGGGTGGACAGCTCAGGGAAAACCTCGACCCGGTGTATTACAGCTGTGGAAAAGGTGAATTCCAAAATCCTGGAGCGTTAGAAAAAGTTCAGAAAAGGACAAGCGAGGTTGTTCTTGTGACGATGACACTACGGGCCCGACGGACCAAGAGGAAGACTGACAGGCCGGCCCCTCCCTTCCTTCCCCCGTACCGGCGCCATGAAGTGGATGTTCAAGGAGGACCACACACTGGAGCACCGCTGCATGGAGTCCGCCAAGATCCGGGCCAAGTACCCTGACCGCGTCCTGGTGATTGTTGAAAAGGTCTCGGGCTCTCAGATTGTGGACACTGACAAGCGGAAGTACCTGGTTCCATCTGACATAACTGTGGCTCAGTTTAGGTGGATCATCCGGAAGAGGATTCAACTGCCGTCTGAGAAGGCAATATTCCTTTTTGTAGACAAGACTGTCCGCAATCCAGCCTGACAGTGGGGCAGCTTTACGAGAAGGAGAAGGACGGTGGCCGATAGTGGAGAAAACACCTTTGGCATCTGATTGCATCTCCTTCCCTCTTGGGTCTTGTAAATAGCCTCTTGTTTGTGATCATGACCCCCGGGGCACATCCTGCATCTGTCACTGGGTTGATTTAATATATGGATAGATTTTGTTAGCCTGGTAATTTGTTGTTTAGTCGTGTCCGCCTCTTCCTGACCCCCTGGACCAGAGCACGCCAGGGCCTCCTGTCTTCCACTGCCTCCCGCAGTTGGGTCAAACTCATGTTTGTAGCTTTGAGAACACTGTCCAACCATCTCGTCCTCTGTCGTCCCCTTCTCCTTGTGCCCTCCATCTTTCCCAACATCAGGGTCTTTTCCAGGGAGTCTTCTCTTCTCATGAGGTGGCCAAAGTCTTGGAGCCTCAGCTTCAGGACCCGTCCTTCCAGTGAGCACTCAGGGCTGATTTCCTTCACAATGGAGAGGTTTGATCTTCTTGCAGTCCATGGGACTCTCAAGAGTCTCCTCCAGCACCAGAATTCAAAAGCATCAATTCTTCGGCGATCAGCCTTCTTTATCGTCCAGCTTTCACTTCCATACATCACTACTGGGAAAACCATAGCTTTAACTATACGGACCTTTGTTGGCAAGGTGATGTCTCTGCTTGTTAAGATGCTGTCTAGGTTTGTCATTGCTTTTATCCCAAGTAGCAGGCGTCCTTTAATTTCGTGACTGCTGTCACCATCTGCAGTGATCATGGAGCCCAAGAAAGTAAAACCTCTCACTGCCTCCATTTCTTCTCCTTCTATTTGCCAGGAGGTGATGGGACCAGTGGCCATGATCTTCGTTTTTTTGATGTTGAGCTTCAGACCATATTTTGCGCTCTCCTCTTTCACCCTCATTAAAAGGTTCTTTACTTCCTCCTTACTTTCTGCCATCAAGGCTGTGTCATTATTTAAATACTGAAGCAAGGTAGTTGAGGGATTAAAGTGAGGGGGATTTTGAAATGAAGCTTTACTAATTATTACAGTTTCATAGTAAGGACGCTTCTGGATTGTTCCAAACAGTCTCAAGATGCTAATATGTTGATTTTGGCTAGTGTCTTCCCCTTGATGAATTTTGTTAGAGGAAACTGATTAAAATTCCTCTCACAAAAGAAAAAGAAAAGGACAAGCGAAATGACCAAGGAGTGACTCTCCTATGGACAGATAAGCCTACCCCAACCTTTGACCTGGAAGCCCAGTTTCCCAGAACCTGCCTTTGTCTGTCTGTATCTCTGTGGTGGGGAACTGCAGAGAGGGCTAGCTGTCCTTGAACTCGGATCCCAGCCCAAGGTGCAACGCCTGCGCCCCCTCCCCACCGGATCCGGGGCTCAAGCAAACACTTCCTTTGAACGCCTCTGCTCACACAAACCGGCCTTTTCACATGCCGATCAAAGCAGGCTTGGGAGCCTCGCAATTACGGCCGCCGCTGTTTGGGGTTGCAGTTCCAGCTTTTGTTTCTCCCGAAGCCAGGAGAAAATGCACTAGGGCTGCCTCTCCCTCTGTCTGTGTGTGTGTGTGTTATTTGTGCGATGGGGGTCATTTCAGAGTGCCCCCAGCTCAATCTCCTCCCCCCTCCCACGATGGCTGATGTGGTTTTATTCCTCCACCCAGGCCCAGTTAATTGAGGGGATGGGGAAAGTAGGGTGAAAGGGGGGAGATTCAGAGCTGGGCTGCTGATGGAAATAATTATACGCCCAGCCTTTCTCTCCAGTTCCCCCGGAAGCCTAATTAAGTCTTCTCACTCTGACAAGACCCTTTCTAAAAAATAAAATAAATGTCTCCGGATCCTGCTTTTGTCATTGCGACGACAACAAAAAAGGAGAAACGCTAGACTGGAGCTGGCAGCCTCTGCCTCGGTCTGCCTTAAGACAATGAGCTGCAGGTGGTTTCCCGCCTCCCCCAGGTGATGCTCAGAACACCAAATGTGTTTTCCTTTCTTCGGGCGAGAGGCGATGGGCGGCGTGAGGCCACCAAATGTGTTGAGAGAGAGCCAAGGAGGCAGGAACAGAAGCCGTCGCCAGCAGCGTAGAAGCCAAACCGCCCAGTTCATGCTGGGAAGAACAGAAGAGGAGAGCCCGCTGGATCAGGCCATTGGGGGCGCATCAAGTCCAGCATCCTGTTCTCACAGTGGCCCACCACCAAACGCTTGTGGGGAACCCGCCAAAGCACGCTCTCCTCCTGTGGTCTCCTGCAACAGCCAAGGGCAGGCAAGAATGTCTGAATTCCCAGGCTTGATTCTCAAGAGGGAGTCGCCAGGTTGGTGGCCCGGAGTCAGAAATAAAGGCCCTCGGATTAGCTGCCAGGTGAAATGGTGTGATTCCTTGCATGTGAAGTCTACTCAAGGGGGAAGAGGTTCTCCATAGATTGGTCAGATGCCCTTTAATCCAGGAAATTAAGTTTGAAAGTTGCTGTTGAATTCAGGTCATGTTTGCAGGCTTCCGGTAGGTACCGTGGTACCTCGGGTTAAGTACTTAATTCATTCCGGAGGTCCGTTCTTAAGCTGAAACTGTTCTTAACCTGAAGCACCACTTTAGCTAATGGGATCTCCTGTTGCTGCCGCACCACCGGAGCACGATTTCTGTTCTCATCCTGAAGCAAAGTTCTTAACCCGAGGTAATATTTCTGGGTTAGGGGAGTCTGTAACCTGAAACGTATGTAACCTGAAGCGTATGTAACCTGAGGTACCACTGTATTTGGTTGGCCGCTGTGATAACAGGATGTTGGTCCATATGGGCAATTGGCCTAATCCAGCAGGCCTCTTCATATGGGCTTTGGTTCATCCTGACTGCGCCACTCACCAACCTCCCCACCACTCCTCTCTCCCATGTATCTAACCCCCTAGGAAGTGGTTCTCAACCTGTGGGTCCCCAGATGTTGTTGGACTACAACTCCCATCGCTAGGGATGATGGGAGTTGTAGTCCAACAACATCTGGGGACCCACAGGTTGAGAATCACTACAAGCTTCCCCTTCTCACCCCACACAAGGGCTAAACTGACTTTTCCTCTTCCCAATCCCCATTCTACATGCAAATCCGGGGTTGTGACGTGGTGTTACAGGCCCACCAATAGGGACTGTGCTCTCACTTCATGCAAATGTAGGATTGCGACGCAGCACTGCAAATCCTCCCATGGGGGCTGCGTGATGACCGCCTTACGTTTTTATGTATATAGGAAGAAACGTACCAGTCTCATCAAGGAATCTCATTGAGGAAGGGCCATAATTCAGTGTGAAATTCAGAAGCTCCCAGGTTCAGTCATGGGAATGGAAAAAGCTGCCTTGTACTCATTCAGACCATTGGTCCATCAGGATCGTCCACAGTGACTGGCAGCAGCTCTTCAGGTTTTCTCCTAGCCCTACCTGGGTTTGAACCCAGGAGATCCTTCCTTCAGGGCAGAGGCTCTGATACTGAGCCATGGCTCTTCCTATCTTCAGTTGGGGCTGGGAATGTCCCCTGCCTGAAACCTGAGAGGGCCTGTGCATAGAGGAAAGTGTTTTCTCCCTCTTTAATAACATCTGAACCCACAGACACCCTATGAAGCTGAATGTTGGAAGAGTGGTACTGATGAAAGGAAGTCTGTTTGGTGTTCAGCATCATGCCCTGATTTCCTCCTGCTCTTTCAGGCCAGTTGGCACTTGACAGGAATCTCTACTTAGCCACTCTTCTGCTGTCCAAGTGGCGGGCTTCCCCTCGGGGTGTGTTTGTGTGGCCCAGTCCATTTGAAACACAGGTCGAGTCTTTGGAGCCTCTTCGTTGGCTCCTGCCTCTCTCCTCTTCCGCCATCACTCGCCCTTTCTGGAGTCTCTTACAATCCTCTTTAGACCTCGTTGACTCACTCCGATTAGTGTCGCCCAAGCCCTATTTATAGCATCGCAAATCCCACAAGCAACGGTGATTTTGCCATGGACTTGTCGGGCTGCTGGCTGCTCTGTATCCAGCAAGGCCTGGTACATGGAACGCAAACCCCCAGTTTCATGGAGATTTACTTAATCGTTGAACTCTTTTCTTTTTTCTTTTTTCCATTATTTATAAATTTTATTGGTAATTTTATTTACAACATAACATAAACCCCCCAATACAGAAATCAACCCTCAATAAACGTGAACATAACATACAATGAGCACAACATACAACAATACAAACAACCAAATAAAAAACCTCCTTTATCCTGTACCTGGCCTCCTTATTTACTTCTTATAAGCTGTTTCCTTTATGAGTAATTATTAAGATTTTTCTAATTATAACTTAAATATCCACAAAGTCTCCTGCAGACAGGAGGGGCAAGGATCCTAACTGCTAAAAACTGGGGAAAAGAAACTGTGCTAAAAACTGGGAAAAAGACAAACTGATAGAGTATATTGAACTGGCTAGATTAACAGAGGCAATTAGAGATCACACTAGACAAGAGTTTCAAAAAGCATGGGGAAAATGCAGAGAATACTTCGCAAAACAGTGCCCTAAAATACATACCTGGACTTGTTTCAATTAATCGTTGAACTTTATACGCTGCTTGATTGCAAAAACAACCGCCGCCACCACTTCAAAGCGGTTTGCAAAAAGGATAAAACAATAAAATTATAAATAGGAAAAAATGGAAGCATAAATTAAGACATCTGAAAAGTTAAAATAACAATAGACTAAGGCGGCCGTGGAGGTGGTGCATGGCGGTGGCAAGGAGTGGAGGCCAGGCACCCACGGGTACCCACAGCAAACATTTCGTGGGGGCCTGGGTCTCCAGGGCCCCCTGGAGATGGCACCAGTGGCTGCATCTTCCCTAACAGACCTCCCCCACCTATATTAAAGGTAAAGGGACCCCTGACCATTAGGTCCAGTCGCAGACGACTCTGGGGTTGCAGCGCTCATCTCGCTTTATTGGCCGAGGGAGCCGGCGTACAGCTTGCGGGTCATGAGGCCAGCATGACTAAGCTGCTTCTGGAGAACCAGAGCAGCGCACAGAAACGCCGTTTACCTTCCCGCCAGAGTGGTACCTATTTATCTAGTTGCACTTTGACGTGCTTTCGAACTGCTAGGTGGGCAGGAGCAGGGACCGAGCAACTGGAGCTCACCCCGTCGCGGGGATTTGAACCGCCGACCTTCTGATTGGCAAGCTCTAGGCTCTGTGGTTTAACCACAGCAGCGGCAGCAGGAGACCCCATTAGCTAAAGTGGTGCTTCAGGTTAAGAACAGTTTCAGGTTACGAACGGACCTCCGGAACGAATTAAGTACTTAACCTGAGGTACCACTGTATTGGTTAATTTTTCTAGTAGGGATAGTGTTGACCGGATTCAACATGACTCTCTCTCTCTCTCTCTCTCTCCCTTCCCAGGTCAAGGTCTGGTTCCAGAACCGCCGCACCAAGCAGAAGAAGGACCAGAGCAGGGACTCAGAGAAGCACGCCACTTCCACCTCGGAGTCCTTTGCCACCTGCAACATCCTGAGACTCCTGGAGCAGGGGAGGCTCCTGTCGGTTCCCGGGGGGCCCCCCAGCCTGCTCTCCCCTGCCCCCAACCCCGTCGGCAACCCCTCCGGAAACGGGTCCTCGATGGGCGCGTCAGGGAACACTTCGCCAGGCCTGGGTGGTGGGGGCAGCCCTCCGGGGACGGGGGCCTTCAGCTTGCAGGTCCCCTCGCTGGCCGCCCCCTCGGCGTCCCCTCGGCTGCCGGCGGCCCCTCTTTGCTTTGGCGGCCCTTTGCTGGGGACCCTCCACGAGCTCCCCAGCGGATACGCACTGGGCACCTCCGCCTTTGAGCCTTACACGCGGCTGGAGAGGAAAGACAGTGGTGCGCTAGCCAGCAAGAAGCCGAGCCCTTAAAGAAGAGAGATGATTAACGATAATTCATTCATTAATTAATAATAACGACGACGAAGAGAAGTGTCAAAAGGACGCCCCCCACGCCGCCGTCCCCCTGACCGCCCGTCCTCCCACCCCACCTCACACTGAGTCCCACACACCCAACCCCACCAGGGGCTTCTCTTTCGCAAGGGTGTGTGTGTGTGTGTGGGTTCGAAGACTGTTTACCAAATGTCAACCATGTGATGTGTGCCTCTGCGTGTGTGCCTGGGTGTGTGTGCGTGTGTGTGCTCCTTTCACGGAAATTAAACGACATCGACAGACAAAGCTGGCTTGGTATGGTGACTCCTTTGGCAAGGGCAATTGGACGTACACGGGGTTCGTAGGGTTCTAGAGCTGGGCGGCGGTGGGGAGAGGGGTACCTGAGGGTCATCAAGTCCAACCCCCTGCAAAATGGGGAGGGGGAGAGGGAAGAGGCAACTTTACCCAAAATGAGGAAGTTGGTAAAAAGGAAGTTGAGAGGCAAAGCTATTGGGGTCAAATCACTCCAAACGGCTGTTGTTGTTGTTTAGTCATTTAGTCGTGTCCGCCTCTTGGTGACCCCCTGGACCAGAGCATGCCAGGCCCTCCTGTCTTCCACTGCCTCCTGCAGTTTCGTCAAACTCATGTTCATAGCTTTGAGAACACTGTTCCACCATCTCGTCCTCCGTCGTCCCCTTCTCCTTGTGCCCTCCATCTTTCCCAACATCAGGGTCTTTTCCAGGGAGTCTCCTCTTCTCGTGAGGTGGCCAAAGTCTTGGAGCCTCAGCTTCAGGATCTGTCCTTCCAGTGAGCACTCAGGGCTGATTTCCTTCAGAATGGATAGCCTTCCAAAAGGCTAGGGAGCTGTTTAAGAACACAACATTAGAAATTCAAATTGAGTGTACATTGCAGATCAGGAAAGGGACCATTGAGGACACTGGTATGCTTGATGAAGAGGGTCAAAAAACCATTAGAGGCAAGAAGGCTTCCTTCAAAAAAACTGAAGTCTTCTTCTGCAAAAAGGAACACAAAACTCTGGCAAAATGTGTAAGCAGGCAATGGCGGATGCATCCAAAGACTTTGAGGAATTGCTGAAAGCATTAAAACCAACAACTAAAAGTTCCTTCAATATATTAGCAGCAGGAAACAGTCTCAGTTGGCCGAATGGGCCCTTGGATGGGAAGGGTGTCAAAGTGGCCGAATTCTGCTTGCTGGTTTCCCATGGGGGCATCTGCTTGAGAACAGGAGGCTGGACTGGATAGGCCCCTTGGCCTGATTCTGCATACTTCTTCTCATGTTTTTGAGGCAGCAATCACAGCAAAATGGCAGGGTGTGCAGACCGTCCTCATGCGGTTTCCCCTCGGCCCATATGGACCCAGGTTAGGGCATTTGTGATTCTCTCAGGATCAGTCTGCACAAGCGCTATAAACCCTAATCCAGCCCCACCCCAAACCTTTTGCTCTCTAGATGTTTTGGACTACAATTCCCAAGCCCAAAACTCCTTGAGAATGACAGGTTGGGAAAGGCCCTCTCTCCCGTTCCCCAAGAAGCAAATGGCTTCTCTTGGCCTGCTGCCAACAGACCAAGGGGCCTCGGTTCACGGGCAGAGCACCTGCTTGGAATGCAGAAGGCTGAAGGTAAAATCCCCTGTGTTTTCAGTTCGAAGGACCAGACAGAGTGTAATGGGGAAAACCTCCGGTTGAAAACATGGAGAGCTGCTGCCAGCCAAGGCCGGCAGTACTGAGCTCGATATATAATGGGGGACCGTGCACTGGAGATCCCGCATTGCAGGGGGTGGACTAGATGACCCTCAGGGTCCCTTCCAGCTCTACCATTCGATAGTTCTATGTTGCCTAACCTGGTGCAAGCAGCTTCCCATAGGGACCTAGCTCATTGGTAGAGCACGTGCCCTGCCTGCAGAAGGTCCCGGGTTCAGTACCTGGAACTTCCAGATAGTGCTGGGAGATATTCTTGCCTGAAATTCTGGAGAGCTGCTGCCAGCCAGTGTAAGACAACACTGAGCGAGATGCACCAATGGCCTGACTCAAGACACCTTCCTGTGTTCCTATACAGCACGATTGCATCATGCCCGGGGGTTCCATTCTGGAGATGGCACATATATCCAAAAACACCACCCGAGTTTCCTGCTCTGGCTCCCCTCTGGTCACCCTGCCTTCCGCCCTATCAGTCCTAACAGGTGTCAGGAGTGAGCCAGCACTAAATCACACCGAGCAAGTTGGAGTTAACTATTATCAAAAACACACTGTGTACAGACTTGGCTGAGTGTCGGGCCAATGAACACAGCAGCTTATCCCCAGCTGGTCTTGCTCCATGGATCAGTTGCTGAGACAAAAGGTCCCAGCTTTCCCACTGTTATCTAAGTCCCCTCCTCTCCAGGGTTTTCCCCAGGCAATCGGAGACTATGCCTGCCCGCAGCTAACTTCTCCTCCGCCCTTTTCATGCCTCTCCTGGTCCTGGGAGACCAGCAGGGATGGGAGCTGGTCTCAGCAGGAGAGGGAGACACCTGTGACTCTTCCTCATCCAGACTTCTCTCTGCCTCCTGGCCTCCCTCCTCTCCTGCTTCAGCTTCTGCCTCTGAGTCTGTACTTCTCTCTGCAACAGACCCTACCCGCTCACTAAACCTGTTACCCCTTCAGCTTCCGACACCTGTTTCAAGACTGTGTTGTGTGGAAAGGGGCCTTTAACCCTTTGCTCTTGCTGCCATCCTGATTTGAATCTGCTCCCCTCCCCTTACCAGATACTTGCAATGGGAGGAAAGGGGCCAAAAAATGTTTAATGCCCTGCCCCTGCCAGGTTATGCATTTTTCAAACATATCTATATGTCGCTTTTGCATAGCAGAACCATACTCAAAGTGGCACACAGAGAATCAAATATAGCAACAATTCAAGATAGTGCATTAACAGTTACAAAACAGAACAGAAAAGCACGCTAATGTCAACAAGGCAAACAAGTATCTCATGTTAAGAAATGCTGGAACACTAGTGGCCACTAATTTGGATGGCTTTAAAAGAGAATTAGACAAATTATTGGAGGAGAGGGCTGTCGATGGCTGTGGGAATGTTTAGGGATGCAGGAGAGGATATATTGTTTGATTATATCCTTTCCAGCTTGTGTTAACAAGTTCTACAATTTAGCAGAGTAACATTCCCCTTTTTAAACTTGCACAGCGGATGTGTTTGCTTAGGCTCGCTAAAGCCTCTAAAATAAGTTACCAGGTAACTTTCCCTTTAGTCCCTCATAAAAGAAATAGACACAACACAGTCTTCTATAAAAGTATAAAAAGAGTTTACTCACTCATTCTGTTCACAGATGGATCCCAGAAGGCAGACTTAAGTTACAAAAGTAATATACCTGGAATCTATCCCACAAGGCAGTCTTTCTCAACCTGTGGGTCCCCAGATGTTGTTGAACTACAACTCCCATCACCCTTAGCTAGCAAGGTCAGAGCTCAGGGATGATGGCAGTTGTAGTCCAACAACATCTGGGGACCCACAGGTTGAGAACTGCTGGGAGATAGTCTCTTTGTCCTCTGCCAAGAGAGCATCTTAGGCTAAGCAGATCTTGCTTCTTCGATGAATGTAGTCAGAGAGAGAGAGATGGCGGCCAGTCCTATGCTTTTGTTACCTGCACAGGTGAGGCCACGCCCACCTCTGGTCACATGTACAGGAAATCTGTCCCAGCCTAGGAGGAAATAGGAAGTTCCAACTGGCTGGTCCAGACATCCCCTTTTTATGTCCACTCTAGGGATGTTGTACTTGACTGCTCTGTGTTTCACATCCCACAATGGCTCCTAGCCAAGATGTCTGTGTCCTGCCCTCTGCAGTCAGTAGCAGCATTGCTCCTGAACTCCTGTTGCTGGAAAGCTCAGGATAGGAGAGTTGCTCTTGTGCTTTTCTGCTTATGGGTTTCCCATGGAAGCATCTCCAGAACAGGATGCAATGTTAAATGAGCTGTTGGCCTGATCCAGCAGGCTTTTCTTATGTTCTTATGAAACAATGCCTAGCCCTAACAATAAAGTATGACACATACAAACAGCAGCAAAACCAATACCCCACACAGCAGGGTGGGGGGCAAGGCAAGTGGGGAAACTTGCCCTTGGCGGTTCCAGCAGACTCTCCCCAGTAGCAAACTCGCATCCTGGGGCAAACTCTGTAACAACTTCCATGCCTACTTGGGCCCTAATCCTGGCATCAATTGCTGGATACCACTATCAGGCTCTGCCTTGCCTCTCTATTCGTGCTGCAATCTCTGCCCATCACGACGTATCCATTTTCCAAATCCTTGCCCCTGACAAGCAAGCTGCAGTTTCATTATACATTCATCCAATCTTTTATTTATACTAGGATCGCTGCCTTGCCTGTCTAAGAAAAGTCGATGCAAGGAAGCTTACTGTGACTTAAAATAAAAAGGAGGAGAAAAACAATTCGAAATACAACAAAACATCAGGAACCAGCAGGGAAGTAACACGGCAAAAGGTGTAGAGCACACACACAGAGGCACATGCAGAACCTTCCTGAGTGATGCCCAGGGGCTGATGGGAGTTGTAGTTCAACAATGGCTGGAGGGACCAGGTTGGCACAGGCTGAGCTCATCAGTCTTTACTTAGCTGGTACCTATTTTGGGGCAAGGTGAGATAACCTATTTGAGTCAGTTTGAAATCAATATCCTGCTCCACATCCCAGGATAGACAATCTGAAGGGGAAGAATGGAGCGCAATGTCCCAACCTCAGTTATTTACCTATTTTTATATATTGCATTCCCAGCCCACCTTTCTCTGCAAGGAGCTCAAGATGGCACACACGGTTCTTATCCCTCCACTCCTCCCATTTTATCCTCACAACAGCCCTGTGAGTAGGCTGGGCCGAGCGACTGTGGCTGGCCCAAAGTCACCTAGTGAGTTTCAAGGCCAAGTGGGAATTTGAACCCTGGTCTCTTCCAGGCCCTAGTCCAACACTCAGCAGGGCTGCTGCCAACTAAC